AAAGTGCACTCTTCATTCGCGAGCGCCGATGGCCGATGATGCTCGCAACCCTCCCACGCCCTTGTTGGCTTGGTAGTAGGCCCAGAAAAGCGCAGCCATGTGACCGCCCGGAAGAAAAACGCTCGGAACGAGCGCTTCCAGCCCCAAAACGCGGAAGGATCCGCACATGTGCAGGAAGTGCAGCGTGCGCTCTTCATTCGCGAGCGCCAATGACCGATGATGCTCGCAACCCTCCCACGCCCTTCTTGGCTTGGTAATAGGCCCAGAACACCGCAGCCATGTGACCCGGCTAAAGAAAAACGCTCAAAACGAGCACCTCCAGCCCCAAAACGAGGAAGGATCCGCACATGTGCAGGAAGTGCAGCGTGCGCTCTTCATTCGCGAGCGCCGATGACCGATGATGCTCGAAACCCTCCCACGGTCTTTCTGGCTTGGTAATAGGCCCAGAATAACGCAGCCACGTGACCCGGCGGAAGAAAAACGCTCAGAACGAGCGCCTCCAGCCCCAAAAAGGGGAAGGATCCGCACATGTGCAGGAAGTGCAGCGGGTGCTCTTCATTCGCGAGCGCCGATGACCGATGATGCTTGCAACCCTCCCACGCCCTTGCTAGCTTGGTAATAGACCAAAACAAATGCAGCCGCGTGACCCGGTGGAAGAAAAACGCTCAGAACGAGCGCTTCGAACCCCAAAACGCGGAAGGATCCGCATATGTGCAGGAAGCGGACAAAGGCACGAGCACCCCAGACCCGGAAACGCGACGCATCGCCAACCTCCCCCGTCCACAGCAGTGTGGGCGAGGTCTCCGGCAAGGAGACACGGGGCCAGAGGTTAAGCTGATGCGCGGCGTACCGGACCGCAAACGGCCACAGAAAATGGGGGGCAGCCGCATGGATCATGGAGGTACGAGCGACCTCCATGACTAAGCCAATGCGGCACTCAGCAACCCCATTCTGCTGCGGAGAGGCCGGAAGCGTGAACATCTGGCGGATGCCGTGCTCCGCACAGAAGGTTGTCAAGAGGTCGGAGGAGAACTCGCCACCTCTGTCAGAGTGCAGACGCAGGACAGGAAAGTCCGACTGGAACTGCTCGCGGAGCTGGAGACGAACAGCGCGGATCCAGGGGATCAAAATATCAGGGACCTCTCCCTTGCGCTGCAAGAGGAAGACCGTGGTGTAACGCGTGTAGTCGTCGACGACCAGCAGGAAGTACCGCTCTTGGCCTGTCCACGGACGCGGGCTGGGCCCCACACGTCCAGGTGGAGAGTCTGCAGTGGAGCCTCTGTGGGAGGGAACGAGGAGGAGTGAGGAGCGGTGCGCTGCCGCCCCTCGACGCAGGGAATGCAAGGCGGCGCAGGCGAGGGAGGGAGGGCAGGCAGGGACCTGGGAAGACCAGAGACCAGGAAGCGAGAGTGCATGCTACAAAGGCGAGGCAGGGAGGGGTGACCAAGGCGGTGGTGCCATAGGAGAGTGTCGTGCGACAGGCGGCGACACTCACACTGGGTAGCTACCTGAGCAGACGCGTACAGCTGGGGAGACAAAGGGGTGTAGCGCGACGCAGTGGTGAGGGTGTACAGACTGGACCCTGGCGCACGTGTGAACGTGGCCAGGTGACGGCCGGTCCGGGAGCACGTGCAGATCGCCACACGCTGTCCTCCAGGAGTAAAGGTGTCAGCCCAGTGGTCCTGAAGGACGGCGTTGCTCACCAATTTCGAAGAGAATGAGGGGAGGTGGAGACCAGACAGCTCACCAGACAAGACCGCCGGACACGGAAGCACAGTGGTAGACCGTGCAAGCACTGGGCCCCCAGAGGGGTCAGCCAGTGAGACAGGAACAGGTGCAGGGAGGGGAGTGACTGTGGTGCTGTCGCGAAAGAAACAGCGGGAAGCACCAGAGTCAAGTGTGAAGGTGTGCAAGGCCTGTGCGGACGCAGTACCAGGGGGAACAGACTCACAAGCACCTAGTGCCACAGGCGCTATGCCCGGGGATATACCGGGGTCAGGCGGCACACACAAGTAGCAGTCACCCTCAGCACTAACAGTCAATGCATACATAGCAGCAAGAATCGCATCATAGTCAAGATCAAAGATAGGTACATCACGCCTAAGCAGGTCTGCCCAGTTGGGGAACTCAGTAGCATCAGGAAACTTGGCGCGCCAGGCGTCGCTAAGCCTAGCGAAGCAGCGGTACTCACTGTGAAACCCTGTGCACTGGCGACCAGCGCGGGGACCTGTGCGAATGATATAGGGGCAGCGACCAGGACCCCCAGACGCCCCACGCCCAGCATACCAGTCAAGAAGCTACTGGGAAGTGGGGGTCTGGCGCTGACGCTGCTGCTGCTGCTGCTGCTGTCCCTGGCCACCACCGGCCTCACCCAAGCCCCCACCATCGCCGCCACCAGCACTCCCCCCTCCGCCACCACCGCCGCTGCCACCGCCACCGCTCCCGGCACCACCACCTCCCCCACCACTACCTCCACCCCCACGACCACCGCCACCATCCCCACTGCCCCCGCCGCCTCCACCACCGCCCCCTCCACCGCCACCTCCGCCACCCCTGCCACCCTTGCCTCCCTTGAAGCCGCTGCGCTTCCCACTCGGAGCGGAAGCAGCTGTGACCTTCTCAGCACCAAGGAGGTCGACTGCAGCAGCAGCTGAGGCGTAGGAGGGGGCAAGAGGGGAGGGGGAGCACCCCTCAAAGAGGGGAGTGCGGGGAGTGCCACGAGCAGCACCTACAGCTAGAATGTTCTTCTCGGCTGCTAGGAGGTGCTTCTCGAGGTCGTTGACAGTGAGAGAATGGGGATCAAGGGCGAGGAAATGGTCCCTGACTGAGCGAAGAGTGTCAGGGAGGCGGGTGACGAGGAAGTAGAGAGTAAAGTACATCCGGGGGGGGGGGTTCTCGGCGCAGAACTCGGCTGGAAGGGCGGCACGAAGGCGAGTGTCACTAGAGCGTAGGTGAGAGATGAGGTCCTCAGCGGTGGTAAACGAGGACAGGTCGGGGATCAGGTATGGTAGCATAAGTCGACCTAGGGCTGCAGTGGCCAGGGAAGAGTAGCGGGCAACAACAACGTCGTACAGTGCCTTCGCAGTCTTGTGCTGGCTAAAATGCGCGCGCTCTGTGATCGGCAGATGGTTGCGAATAGCTAGGCCCGCAGCAGCATCGCGGGTCTGCCACTGGGAGCGGTCTAGAGCAGGCTGAGTGGCAGCAGGAGCAACGGCAGTGCCAGACACGTAATCGAACAGGGAAACACCGTCCTTGGCATCAGTCAGGAGGAACAGTTGCAGGTCATCGAGCCAGGTGGCGAACTCTACTGGGCGACCGTCAGGATCGAACGCGAACACGTTGAGAGTCGCCATGCGTGCAGCGTAGGCAAGTCTAGTGCGCAGGCGGCAAGGCAAAAGGCAAGCAAGGGGAGACTGCGTGCAAGGCTGCAGTGGCGGCGCACGAACCGCAGTGGCGGGGCACGGACTCCTAAGGCAGCACGGAGGGCAGCAGTGGGTCGAGCGTGGGCCTCTAAAGCGGCGCGCGGTGCAGCAGCATGTCGCGCGCTGGCTCCTAAGGCGGTCCACAAATGTAACATATGCATATCTTTGACGTAACCACTGGGATAAAAGGGCTTGTTTGTGTAGCAGGTGAGTGCGCCCATAACCCCCCAGGCCGCAATGCCTGTAACCCTTCACTAGGATCAATCGGGGATCACAAGTGGACCTCTGACACCCTCCTCTATTGGGATGCCCGAGGTGCACACACCGGGATTCGAACCCAAGACCTTCGCTCTGATACCATGTCAAAATCCCAGCCACTAACCACTAGGATAAAAGGGCTTGTTTGTGTAGCGGGTGAGTGCGCCCATAACCCCCCAGGCCGCCGTGCCTGTAACCCTTCCCTAGGATCAATCGGGGATCACCAGTGGACCTCTGACACTGCTGTGCATTCCGCTCATAGTAGTGAAGTAGGCATCGGAGGTGTTGGAAACAACAAGTTATAAGCGCCTCTGTCGTGTCGAAACACCGCACCAGAAGCGAAGTAAATCATAACGAGGCATCCGCGAGTCAACCCTCGGAGGTTGAGAGGTTGCTGGAGGTTACGCGAAAGTCAAAGGTCAGCGACCTTTGACCTGACAAGTACAGCGCGACAGTAAGGACACACAACTGACTCATTACAGAGCAGTTGCCCAAGTCGTACAGTAAAGTAGTTATAACTATACCTCTTCATATTCCTTGTATCCTTATATAAGTGCCTGTATTCTCTTGTTTTAATTAACTTACTTTGCCCTCACATACCAGCGCAAGGTGGTTCAAAGATCTCTTCATTAACGCTTCCGCTATTACAATTGTCCTACCCGAATTTACCCCTGCAAAGATCCTAAGGGCTTTTTCTCAGCCCAACAGGAGGCTCCGGATTGTGCATGTGCCGCGGGGAAGGCACGGAGGCAAGAGTCGTAAGGCAGGGAGGCAGGGGAACGGGAGCTGAAGGTAAAACGGGACAATGAACTGGCTGGTGCTGTACAGCATTGAATAGAACAGGCACATACTGTGCCTACATTCCACCCACTATACCGCGCGTACATTCCACCCACTCTATACCGTGCCTACATTCCACCCACTCTATACCGTGCCTACATTCCACCCACTCTACCGTGCCTACATTCCACCCACTCCATACTGTGCCTACATTCCACCCACTCTATACCGTGCCTACATTCCACGCACTCTACCGTGCCTATATTCCACCCACTCTATGTATACTGAACATTGTGCATCTACATTATAGCGGTAAAGAGACCAACTGAGACCGTCCAGCTAGGGTGCATGCACCATCCTGACATCAACACCGCCACACTAGCCGTGCCACCTTCGCAGCTCACTAGTCTCAATGGAGTGGGTTTAGTTAGCACCCACCCTCCAGGGAATTATTGATGAGATTTTACAAGACAAGCTGCTATTGGTCCTCCTTGCATCGAAGAACGATCCTCCTTGGAAGGTTTGTTGGGGTTGGTAACCATGTCCAGCATGACCCTCTCAAATGCACCATGCCGTGAGTCGTCTCAATGCTGCTGCCATGCGAGCGAAGCTGCTATCCTGTCACACTGGCAGCTTATGAGGCGCCTCAGAAGTCCTGCCACGCGAGCGAAGCTGCTACCCTGTCACACTGGCAGCTCCTGCTACCCTCCACTGCTAGCGCTCCTCCTTGGAGGGCTTGTTGGGGTTGGTGACCATGTCCAGCATGACCCTCTCAGGAGCATCCTCCCACTTGCCCACGAACTTGGCCAGATCCACCTAGGGGAGGTACAAAAGGTGGAGGTGCATGTGGTGGAGGTGCAAGTGGTGGAGGTGCAAGTGGTGGAGGTGCAAGTGGTGGAGGTGCATGTGGTGGAGGTGCAAGTGGTGGAGGTGCATGTGGTGGAGGTGCAAGTGGTGGAGGTGCAAGTGGTGGAGGTGCAAGTGGTGGAGGTGCAAGTGGTGGAGGTGCAAGTGGTGGAGGTGCATGTGGTGGAGGTGCAAGTGGTGGAGGTGCAAGTGGTGGAGGTGCATGTGGTGGAGGTGCATGTGGTGGAGGTGCAAGTGGTGGAGGTGCAAGTGGTGGAGGTGCAAGTGGTGGAGGTGCAAGTGGTGGAGGTGCAAGTGGTGGAGGTGCATGTGGTGGAGGTGCAAGTGGTGGAGGTGCATGTGGTGGAGGTGCATGTGGTGGAGGTGCAAGTGGTGGAGGTGCAAGTGGTGGAGGTGCAAGTGGTGGAGGTGCAAGTGGTGGAGGTGCAAGTGGTGGAGGTGCAAGTGGTGGAGGTGCATGTGGTGGAGGTGCATGTGGTGGAGGTGCATGTGGTGGAGGTGCATGTGGTGGGGAGGTGCATGTGGTGGAGGTTACGGATGGAAGGAGATGCAGCGGACTTGAATCAAGGCACTACCCCAGCTCCTTTCGGAGAAAATGCAAGCAGGGAGAACAGGTATGGGAGCGACTTATGAGTCGACTCAAAAAATGCAAGCAGGGAGAACAGGTATGGGAGCGACTGGCAGCCCAGCTGTCTAGCTGCTTCGAGCCACCTCCTTGGTCCACAGCTAACATTTCCCAAGCTTCCCTTCTTCTCCACCCCTCTAGTTACTAATCCTACCCTTTTCTTCCGCACCATTCCGTTCCCCTCGCCCACGCTCACCTTTCTCCTCTGCTCTGTGAAAAGCTGCTCTCGCTGCTGAAAGGCCACCCTCTTGTCCTCTGCTGCCTTGCCACCCAGACCCCATACAATCACATCCTCTACACGCACACTCAGCTCTGCGTAACCCTGCATCCCAGGCATCGAAATGGGACAAAAAGACACACATTCATGCAAGCACAGCGGCGGCGCTTCCGCTGAAGTAAACTGGATTGAGGCAGAACATACACGGAAAGAGGAGCCTGTCCGGAAAAAAAGACCTGGAAACACAGCCACAAAACACGGTCAAATATAATCATCCACAGAAAGTCACCTGGTCGGGGTGCAGATGACCGGGGCGGAAGGTCTTATCCACCGCATGGTGTCTCACAACAGCACATCGAAACTCCTCATCCACCCACACCCGCTCCCTCCCCCTGCTGCCCCCCACGCCTATCCCCAACACCCTCGCCTTCCCCCCTGCTGCCCCTGCCCCGCGCACAGCAGCAGCACCAGCCCCACCAACACCAGCACGAGAAACAGGGCCGCCCCCCAGCTTTGCAGATGGAGTGCAGATGAAATTATTCGCTAGACCTGGTTTGATTCGTAGAGAGGGGGTTGAAAGGGAGGAGAGGAAGCGGTGCGATAAATGAGTGGATACAAACTCATGATGGAAATCAGTTCTGAGAAATCTGAAAATAGAGACCTGGAACAAAAAAAAAAAATACAAGCAGAGAAAAGTGGAAGAAAGAATCACGAGAGCAGCACGAGAGAAAGAGGAATGGAGGAGGGAATTGATGGATGAGAGAAGGACACGAGAAGGAGAACCCACCAGTGGGCTTGTAGAGCGCGAAGGAGGGCGAGAGCTGCATGAGAGCACAGCCCCTAGCGTCACCAGTATAGGTATCCGCATTGGTAACCGCAGCAGACGCCATCACTCCCACCAGCCACGGGGCTTGCTTTGACACGCACAGGCGAGTGCAGTGAGAGAGGAGACCCCCACAATGGCAGTGAGAGGAGGTGGTGGTGGTGGAGGAGGAGGAGGAGGAGGAGGAGGAGGAGGAGGAGGAGGAGGAGGAGGAGGAGGAGGAGGAGGAGGAGGAGGAGGAGGAGGAGGAGGAGGAGGAGGAGGAGGAAAGAGGAGAGGAGGGCGTATGGCGGAGGGAGAGCAGCAGGAACCAGGGACCACCATAGCCTTCAGCCTGAGCCATGAGCCGGCGAATGCCACGGCCATGCAGGGACGCCCTATACAGCAGCTGCGCCCCATGCGCCATGTGCCCCCCTCCTGCACCACGTGCTTCTCTTACCCCTGCCCCTGCCCCTGGCCCTGGCCCTGCCCCTGGCCCTGCCCCTGGCCCTGCCGCTCCTGTTGTTCCTGTTGCTCCTGCCGCTCCTGCCCGTGACATCCCCGCTGCACTAAGAGGGTCCGGAAACGCCATGTCAAGCGCCCAGGCAACGCCACGTGGCATGGCTTCCGGGCTCGTATTGGTGGAATCAGTGCCTTCAGTGGATGCAGCAGATGTGCTTGTAACGGTGGGAAGCAGAGACGCAGAGAGAGAAGCAGAGAGCGAAGCAGCAGGAGCAGGGGCATCGGGCGTGAGTGCTGCCTTGCTGGCATGATGCGTGGTTGAAGGAGAGGAACCATCTGAGTGTGAAGCAGAGGCGAAGCGGTGGAGCACGAAGGCGGACAGGCGCGTGGAGAGACCCGGGAGCTGACCCAGCAGCCACGACACGAGCTTTGCCGACTCCAGGCAAGGCAGAGACTCGTTATAGGCGGGTCCGCTATCAATAGCAGCACCAGGTGCAGGCACCAAAATAGCAGCAGCGCTTTCTGTGGCAGCAGCATTCCCAGTGGCAGTGGCAGCCGCTGAAACAGCTCCTCGAGCAAGGCTCTGCAGCATGTGGAGCACACTTGAAGGTACAGTAGACTGATCATTCGCGAGGGCTACCACGTTGGAGAGACCAGCATCTGCACCACCACCACCTACATCCCCATCCCCATCCCCATCCCCATCCCCATCCACATCACCACCCCTATCACCACGTTCACTACCACTGCCTGCCTTGTCTTGGCCCAATGTCTCCGCCTGCTGCTCCATCGCCCAGCACGTGAGGAAGAGCAGCCACACGTGCCATGCATGCAGCTCCCTGCTCTCACCCCCCCCAATTCCTTGCCACTGCTGTTGCTGCTGCTGCTGTGACTGCTGCGACTGCTGCTGCAGTTGAGTTTCTCCCTGCACGTTGTCTGGCGTGGAGAGAGGCGCTTGGGACACCGAGGGAGCGCATGGGATGGACGGCATCACGGGGAAAAGGTCGCGGGGCTCGCCACTGCAGGCACGTGCATCATTCTGATCCAAACTGGCGCTCTGTGAGTGTGACAATTGTGATTGTAACGAAGGGGAGCAGGCAGATGGGGGAACGAGGGCCACACGAATCAGAGACATGACTCGCAGCAGCCGTCTCATACGAGCTGCTGACGAAGCTTCCTTGCAGCATCCTGCTAGACCAACAATAAACTCCTCCCAAGCCACCCTCGCCCTCCTGCTCGCCCCCCTGTGCGTACTGCCACTACTAGCACCCCTAGCACTACCTTCACCTGCACTGCTGGCTGTAGCAAGGCCCTCTCCTGCCTCATCCCTGGCAGAGCAGCTGCGCATCTGTGAACCAGATCCAGATCCAGATCCACCAGCGCCAGTGCAGGTGGACCCATCATCAGCATCACGTCTGACAACCGGCGCCATGAAATCCCTCTTACCAGCATCTGATCCAGCATTGATCCCCGTCCCTGTTTGTACTTCTCCTTTTTCTTCCTCTTCCTTTTCCTCCTCTTCCGCGTCCTCCTCATCATCACTCTCGTCACTTGCACCATCCATCGGGCCCATCCAAAACGCCTCCCAGTCTTGCTCAATAGCTTCAACAGCTACCTGCTCGTCTGAACCGTCCCGCTGACCACTTGACTCCTGCTTGCTGTGGTTGCTGCTACAAATCTTGGCCTCCTGTTTTCGTACCGATTTTCTGAAGCGAACCCCAAACACGTCTGCAGCGATTGCTCTTGCCATTTGACGAGATAAAGCCTCCACGGCCACACGAGAGGGAGGAGCAGCAGAAGCAGGAGTAGCAAAGGCAGTAGTAGCAGCTGCAGAAGCAGATGAAATACTGGCAGTAATCGATTCATCAGCAACAGAAGCATTGGTCAAATTCCTGTCCATGCTTTCTTGCGCTTCATAAGTTGTTGATTCTGCCTGCCTCTGGTGCTGGTGCTGCTGCTGCTGCTGCTGTTGCTGCTGTTGCTGGTTTTGGAGCTCCATGACAAAACGCAGCAAGGGGCATGGCAGCGCTTCTAGAGGAAGGGACAACTTCAGCTCATCCTGCATAGGAAAACGGCAAAGAATCAAAGTGGAATTAAAATGTATTAATAATAATAGTGACAATTAGAACGGCAAAGAAAGTAGAAGAGGGATTACAATACTGAAAATAATATTAATTAGACTAAAACGTCTGTCAGAATCTGCTCGACCGTAATTATTGCAACGTTAAAGTACTCACCGCTAGGACCTGCGCCCGGATAGTGTTGCGGGTAGACTTTCCGAGTCTATCACGCTGTACCAGCTGGGAAAACGCGATCCTTATTCGAGATAATTCCTGAGGTGGAAACTGTGCTTCAGCTTGCGATACCGCGGATATGTCCGATCTATCCTCCGCAGGGGACGGCGACGACGGTGCTATCCCCATGGTAGACTATGGAAGTCCAAAAGCCAAATCGATCCGCCCACGGTTGCGTGGAACAAGTGAATTCAACACAGAGGAATTCACAGGAAGTCCATGCGACGGAATTCCGTGTAGAAGGGGGAGCGCGCTGGTTGTGGGGTGAGCCGCAATCACTCCGGTAGAAGGTGCAAGGGTAGATCACCATTTACATGTGCCATTTGATGTCACTTCTATACATGATTCATGCTTCGGGATTGTCTCAATCTTTGGCTGCTTCTTGCGGTTGGATTGGCTGATCAATCAATTTGTTTGTGTGTGTGGCTGTGAAGAGAGTTTTTGTGAAACCTCAACTCTCATCGTGTCGCAGGTGACGGTTTTCTCACTGCACCTTTCTCGACCGTGACAACGACTGTTTGAACAACGAAGTTACCATTTTGAACCGCGAACTGATAAAACCGTACTCAAATTGTGTGGCGTTCCTATTTCCATCAGTCATCGCCGCTATGCCACATAACTCACCCTCCCAGTCTCAGCGCGTACTTGGTCCCAGCTCCCAGTCGTCGCACCGGCCGCTGATAAAACTCGCAACCTCGCATACGTCGCGACACGGAGTTCTCCGAGACTGATGCACTATTGACGGCATTTGATCACCCTCTTTCATTTATCGCCGATCCAGTTCAGCATAAGCTAAAGCTAATTCTATCACTAACAAACTCATTTCCTGACTTAGCATACACAATGCCGTCGAAGCTTCAGGAATGGCTCGACATTCCGCCAGGGACCATACTGCAGCATCTCCCGACGGGACCATGGCGGAGCTTGTCAGAGGAGGAGAGCTACATTCTCCTGCATACGCTCGTCGTCGCCACCGGCACATGGGCTCTGCTCTTCCTCACGCTCCGCCTCTCGATTTTGTCGCGCGTCTCCTTCGATTTCTGCAATCGAGCCGTCTCGCAGGCAAGTTACGCAAAAGAGCCAGAATCCGCGCTCGATCACCGCTTCTTAAAGCCTGGCTCCAGATCTAAATGTCTCAGCCCACACGCACAGCACTATTTCACCTTAAGCCATAGCACGGACAAAAAAGCTGCATACGATGCAATTTAGCTCGTTCCAACAATTCATTCTACCAACCAAGTCTATGCTTCTCACTTGCTCGCCTATGCTTCTCACTTGCTCGTCTATTGTTTATTCCGCATGTCTCGTCGCCCTCTCATTGCCAGGTGCACGTGGTCATTGCTCTCGCTCTCTCCACAAGAGCTCTCAACTGGTCCGATCCGCTCGGAAACTTTGGAGGCCGCAACACCCTTCCTCAGGTGACTTGACTTTCTTGATGCACTCTGTGTGAGTGGGAGGGGGCGGGGAGCGTTTGATAGATGATATTGTGAAGACGTAAACTCAAGTACTGGAATCTGACTTGGTGGATTTTCCTTTTTGAAGTGAAGCATGTATGCCTGGTTCAGAGTTTGCTACGTCTTCAGCACGTTACACCAAGCATTGCATGTATGGGTGCAGTTTGAGTCACTCTCGGCATCGTTACATTCTCCTGCATTCATTACAATATCGAACGTCAGACTTCGATCCTCCTCCTCCAACCCACTTGGTCGCATTATGCCTGCCACCTCACCACCAGGTCCAAGCCATGGTGATCAGCCTGAGCTATTTCCTCTATGACTTCATCTGCTGCATGTTTGACGTCACCTTCGACTGGGCTAACGCCTTCCACCACGTCTTCTCCATAGCAGGATTTGCCTTTGGCCTCATTTCTGGTCGGGTACGTGTTGCTCAGAAACACCATTGATGAATCCGTGCGACTGTTTCGCAGAAGTTTTGAGGTTAGCTTAGCTGTTCATATCCCTCAGGGCGGATTCCTGGCTTCGGGACATCCGCACTTCGGGACTTCCGAATATTTTTTTCCCGAACCGCAAGACCTCCGATTCGACTTCGGGTTTTCCGATTCGGGAACCCACGGTGGTCGCAAGTGCATCCAACGAAGGGCAACCGAAACAACTTTCTCCCCATACGAATACTCAGGTTGGGAATGTGCGATCAGTTGGGGTCGCCTGTCAATTGACTGTCAATTTCCGCACGGAATTGACGTCAGACAGCTTCGCTAAAAGCGCGCACGTGCAACACTCTCGACATTGACAGCTGACTGTCAATGTTGTGGTCGTGTGGCCGATCGTGAAGGCGTGAGTTGAAGTCGCACGATGTTGGTAAAACAACATCTGACCAATGAACAGCAGGGCGTGGGTGACGAGATGTGGTAACTCTCGTCAGCCCAGACCTAAAAAATCGCGTGGGAAATGGGGTCGTTGACACGAGGTGCAGTATTACACCTCGAGTCATCCCACATGTTCGGAAGGCCCAAACACCGGAAGTCCAGAAGCCAGGAATCCGCCCTCACTGTTTTCAACAGCCATTGTCACACACCACCTGCTCCACTCCACCCCCATTGCCCATCTCCCAACCATTCCCTGGAGCAGTGTGGGGAGGAGCTGATGGCATGCCTGTGGCTGGTGGAGCTGTCCAACCCGTTCATGCACGCCAGGGAGATGCTTCGCGAGCTGGATGCGCCCAAGTCGGCGCTCACCTTTGCTGTTGATGTGAGACCATCTGCAGTAAACATTCTGCATTGCGTTTCGCATTCTGTGCTTACCTGTGCAATGCTCAACACGTTCAAGCTCCTGAATTCCTTTGTGGACAGACTGCCAAATACATGTCTACGTTTCTTGTTTCTCACTATCTTGATCTCAGTTGTTTCCTGTTGTGCCCTATCCTTCTCTCTTCCCTTCTTCTCTGGCTCTCTTCCTCCCTCCCTACCACCCTTCCTCCTCCGTCTCTTGTGTGACACGGCTGCAGCTGGCGTTTCTCATTTCCTTCACAATAGCCCGCATGGTCGTGGGCCCTGTGGTAACATGGCAGACTGTCATTGGGACGAGCCCCACTGCTGTTAAGGTAACCACAGGTGTTCCACTGTGTCCCAATGTTCAGCCTAAACCCTAAACGGTTTATTTCTTCTCTCTGCTTCCCTCCGTACATGCCTCCCTCACTCTTCCGCCCACGTCTCCCTCTCACCCTTCCAATCCAACCCCTCCTCTTCTCCCCCCTCACCATTCTCTCTCGCCCATCTCCCCTGTCACATTTTCCCTCTTTTAGATTGTCACCATTTTCCCTCTCCTTCCTACCTATCCTCCACATTTTCTGCCTCTGTCATAGCTCTTTTTTCCGTGGTACAGGAACTCTGTCTGTCCACATTGTCATCATATAGTTATCCTACAAAACAAGCTAGCTTCGCCCTGGTCTTCTGCAAGAGGTTGTTGCATCAATCATCACATGATGGATAGCACGCTCCTGTCTCAATCAAATCTGACATTTCTATGTGGTGCTGGTTCTGTCACAGGTCGGGGCAGTGGCAATCCAAGCCGTCAGCACTTTCTGGTTCTCCAAGATCCTCAATGCAATATTTCGCATGATTAGGCAAAAGCCCAAGCGAAGTTAGGTACCGCTAGACATGGTTCAGGATCCTTAGGCTGTATGATATTGTTTTAGAATCAATACGGTAGTTGCCAGGCCTCTGGATAGGATTTGGGGTACTCTTCCTCGTAAGGCCAACACCCAGCTGTTACTCTTTCAGTAAGGGTGCTTCACAGAAACTGCTCTTAAACATCAGGGTGCAAACGAATGAATGATATAACCACAAAATTTCGCTTGACCAGGGTGTGGTGTTGCAGCGCGTTGTGTTATGGTAGTCAAACGGTATGAAGCACCCAAGGTCGAAACCCAGTGCGGTCAACTGTGGCGGGAAGTTGTTTTACGCGATCAGTCCTAGGATCCTCTCTTAGATCGAACTTGATTTCATCAGTGTTACTACACCACACAGCTCTGAAATATCAGTATCGTACAATTGATCACTTTTTTTGGTAAGGGTCGAAAACAAAACCAGTCTTGTAAAAAAGGGTGCATAGTCAAACCCGCCCTTATAGTAAGGGTCATAAGGGTGAATCACCCTGATATCGAGAGGCCAGGTAGTTGCTCTGAAAACTATGCTATACGGAATAGGCTGCTCATTAAAGTGGATGTTCAGCCCATGGGGAATCGGCAAGGTCCCACTGGCAAGTACGTACATACATGGCCGCCCCAGTACAGATTTCAACCTTGTTGCAGGTGCTCCATGAAAAGGTAAGGATGTGATAAATGGATGCTGCTGTGGATAAATGTAAGAAACCCCTTTCAATCCCAGTTACTGATTAAATGGGAAGCTAGAAATGGGTATCAAAGCACTGTGTGCAACGTTTGTATTGGTACAAGGTGTCACGGGGGGTGGGGGGCTGGGCTGACCGACGCAATCGCATCTCTGCCGTTCTTTCCCCTATTCTCAGCCTTCATATTTAGGGTCTGCTAGCACGTAATGATATGCCACGACCAGCATGAAGATCGTGATGCCGAGGACGTTCGCGAAGAACCCGAGATCTTGATCGTCGATCATCTGCCACATACGTTGATAGAAAGAATCAGGACGATGGCCACTGAGGTCAAGAATATGGGCCGAAGGGACCCAACGAAACAATCAATTGACGGATTAACTAGGACTCAAGAACCGCAAATATGGTACCTTGATAAGGTTGCGTACGGCTTCGCGCTGCTGAATATGGCGGGGATTGAAGGGAAGGACTGGTAAGACTGATCGAATCGAGCTGAAGCTAGCAGCTTTGCGCTAAGATCTAGGGCTCGAATTGAAGATCCCAAGGTTGTACGAGAGTCTGAAAAATATGTTGCTCGCAAAATTCACCATGGAAGTCTGAGATACTGCTCTTTTCAGTCCAGCAAGGTGGGAGGAAGGACCTGTTCGCTCGCGTTGCAGATTCTTCGATCTGGAACATTCCCAAGCCAGAATCACTCGCAGGTTCATATGAGTGGCTAGAATGTACGGCTCAGCTTGGCGTGCCGAGGTAACAGCCAGAGATCGACGGCAAAAAATTGCAACCAACGAGTTCAGCTTGCGGTGACGTTCGGGTTTGGCAAACGAGATGATTCTTCTGGTAACAAACTGTCAACGAAAACAGAAACGAACCTGCAAATGCCAGCCAAAATACTAGAGCCTTGACGTTGACAAATGCCTGTTTTCAACGTTCGCTAGCTAACTTTCTAGCCAGCCAGCCCTCCTCACCCTTCAGAATCCATCATAGAGGCTGACCTCCTTATACTCCTCTGGTTATTCCTCGCTCAACTTCCCTCCATTTTCCACCATGAGTTCCTCCCAGAAATCCGCCAAGGGATCGAAACCCTCGAAGGAAAGCAGCAAGCCTGCTCCCGCACCCGCAGCAACCCCGTCGCAGGGAACCTCTCCGGACATGAGCAACACGAACGTCTTCGAGTTCGGCTCCGCGTCCGTGTCGGAAGATAAGTCCACGCTGGCGGGGTACTGTCCGGTGTCGGACGATCTAGAGCCGTGCCGATGGGAGGTGCTGCCGTCAGGAGGAGGAGAGGCTCCGCGATTCCGCATCATATTCTAATGGTAGGAGAAACTATCGAGACACAGGCAGTCTTACAGCTCGAGATTTCGTCAGATACCTTAAATCAGATGTCTGTGTCGAGGCCTTACATGTCATCCCGCTTCTAATTTCTGATCATTTGTCAGACTAATCATCTTTCTCTTCTCAACCAATCCTCTGATTGTTTCCCACCCTGCAGCATCCATACCGTACATGCGGTAGATTGGTGGATTGGTGACAGTGTCTGGAACCAAGAGTTACTTTAGAAGGTTGACCTAGAATGCTTGCTGGTGTAGTAATCAGCTTTGTTCAAATTCATTGACAGGAAGTATTTGAGTGAGCCTATCCTTGCATCAAGGCGTCCCAGAATCTCCCTGTATGCTTCTACCAAGCTTGGCTGGCCGGAATGACTTCATCATTAAGGTGCAATGGGGTACGAGACGTCCATAAACCATATCCATCTTTAGAAAATCAAATGTATCACATCAGAGCGAGGGGGGCACATATGCCATCTCCTGCACCTGCACATACGACGTCCCCCCATCAGCAGCCCGTCTCCACTTCTGCCTCCGCATTAACTGCAGCGCTGCAAGCGCTGCCAGCGCCCCACCCACCACCACCACCAGGAGCACCCCCAACCACACCGACCCCCCACTCCCATCCTGGCTGCTCCCTCTGTTGGTTTGCAAAGGCACCTCCGCTGACGGCGAGGACGAAGAGAGAGACGGCTCGCCAAACTCTGTGTTGAACGAAGGCTCGTACGAGGGGTCACTTGTCGGGCTGGTGTTGCTCCGAGGATACTTCGCATAACCACCTCCTCCGCCGCCACCTCCTCCGCCGCCGCCGCCGCCGCCGCCGCTGCCGCTGCTGATGCTGTCAGGATTCCTGCTGCTCCTTGCCTCGGCAGCATCTTCCTCCTCCTCTGCTTTCTGCATCTCCCTTTCCTCCTCCTCGTCCTCCACATCCTCCTCTCGCACCCTCTGGTCCGACCCACCATGTGAGCCCACAGCACCACCACCTCCTGCCGTGCCACCTCCCTCTCCACCCATCTCAACACCCTGCAATGCTCCCTTCAACCCTCCTGCATCCCCACCACTCGCCATCCCCACGTCCCTTCCTCCCACCATGGCTCCGGCTTCTCCTCTCTCCACTCCCCCTCCCCTCACCACTCCAGAATCTCTCCCACCACCAGCCCTTCCCCCAGCCGTACTTCCCCCTGCCGCCCACCCACCTGCCGCCCGGCCGCCTGTCTCCATGCCGCCCATGACATCTGCAGCTCCAGCAGTGCCCAGCACTTGATCACGGGGGTCCCATGATACCGCACTGTCTTCCCCCTCCTCCATCCCCCCCAAATTAAACTCTTTCTTCTCCTCCGCTTCGATCGCTGCTTCCTCTGTCGCCACCTCCTCCTCCTCCTCCTCCTCCTCCTCTGCCCGTGCCTCTGCTGGTTCGACTTCTGCTGCTTCGCCCCCTGCAGGTGCCTCTGTTGCTTCTTCCTCGCTCCCTCTTTCCTCCTCTTCAGCCCCCCCCTCCCTTTCACCACTGCCAGCACCTGTACGAGCACCAGTGACAGCACCCGCAGCAGCACCAGCAGTAGAAGCCAGCAGCGCGGTTGTCACCACCAGCACCTGTGCTTCTGCCAGCAGCAGAAGCACGGGTGCGTGACACATGGTGGCTGACTGAAGCTAAGGGGAAGGCTGCGGCAAAGAGAACCTGCTCCAACCCAGCCTGCAGGTTGTGTGAAAGATAGAGGGAAAGAGGAGAAGGGAGATAAGAAAGGAGGGTTGGCGTACACATGTCTTGTGAGTCGACTCAAAAGTCACCACAGAGGAGAAGGGAGATAAGAAAGGAGGGTTGGTGTACACATGTCCAGAGGACCAGCATTCTGAATACTGTCTCACCTGCATCATACTTAATACAGAGCAACTTACCTGCATCATACTCAATATAGACTGAGTCATCTGCACCATACTAAGTATAGAGCGACTCACCTGCATCATACTCGATATAGACTGCGCCATTTGCGCCACAATCTCCACCGCCATCTCATCAGGCCTCTCCGCACCCTCCTTGCACCAATCACAGCCCCCCGCCTGCGCCATGACCTCCTCTCGTGTGTGCCTGTAGCACTTTCCCTCGAAACCCGGCATATCCTGTCAGTGCCAGCAGCAGCCAGGGCGTGTGAAAGAGGAGTTGGGGGTTGGGTGTAGTGTTTGTAAAAGCCAGACTAATCATCGAGTAAAAAAAAAAACAAAAAACATCCTCTTGTCTATGCTTGTAGCGCTTGCCCTCAAAACCCGGCATATCTTGCCGGTGCCATTAGCAGCCAGGGTGTGAACGAGAGCGAGAGCGAGAGTGAGGGTGAGGGTGAGAGCTGAATGGGCGGAAAGTGGAGTGAAGAGAGTGAAAGCTGAGAGACGGAGAAAAGACTTACTGAAGGAGAGAAGAGGTCACAGACGTGGCGATCCCACACATGCTTGAAGATCTTCTCAGCCGTCCGATTCGACATCCCCGTTGTGAATCCAACGGGCACCTTTACATTGGGCTCCTTTCCTGGATGGGCAGCCTCCAAAAATTCCATCGCCTGCCCAAAGGTGGTAATCTGACCGCAGCTACAGAGCGAGGTGACTTCGAGGCACATCTCTTTGCAGGGCAGCCCGAGAGAAAAGGCTGCGAGCATGCGAGGGAGGGCGGCTTCTATGAGCTCGTCAGGCTTCTCCTGGCCCGTCGTTATCTGGCGCAGCTCCGGCTGGTGGCGGGGCGATAAGTGGAAGGAAGGAAAAATATAAGAGCACTTAAGCATCACGATGATAGGAAAGCACCTGCTCTGTCAGGCTTCTCCTGGCCCATCGTTTTCTGGCACAGCTCTGGCTGGTGGCGGCGGGATGATAAGGGGTGTGCTGTGGAAAACAGAGTGTAAGGGGAGTATAAGGGGGAACAGAGTTCACAGCCACCTGGCTCTGTGAGGCTTCTTCCTGGCCTGCTCCTATCTGGCGCAACTCTGGCTGGTGTGAGGTGAATGGACGTTGGGAGGAGGGGAGAAACAGAATGAGCATTCATAGACGGAAATCCCTCACATCAAGACAGACAGGGATATTCGTGAGTGGGCCAAGCAAGCACCCACACTCACCAGCACTTCATCCACAATCTTCTCAAAGGTGCCACAAGTGGGCACAGTCTGGCCACACCAGAAGCGGTGCAGCGCCTGCAGGCACGGCTCACAGGGCGGGTCGTACCCCCCCTGCTGCAGGCCACCAGTGGGAGCAGCAGTCTCACCTGACTGCACCGCATCCCACCCTGCCTGAACCCAAGAAGCCCAGACAACTGGCAACTGCAGAACACAAAAACCACGGACCCGCCGCACTCACCAGCACTTCATCCACAATCTTCTCAAAGGTGCCGCACGTGGGCACAGTCTGGCCACACCAGAAGCGGTGCAGCGCCTGCAGGCACGGCTCACAGGGCGGGTCGTAGCCCGCATGCTGCAGCCTCGCTCGCACCACCACGTCTGGGTCCAGTGCCTGCCCCTCCCTCTCCTCCAGGGTGTACGCGCAGTCAACGGTAGGGTTGACCAGGTCAACAGCACACTGCTGCATCATCCCCACACTCACACTCCCCTCCTTCTCCTCCTTCTCCTCCTCCTCCTCACCTGTCGCACCTTCCTCGCCTCTCATACCTCCCGCTCCCCTCTCCGGTCCGCCATTTCCCCGGTTAATGCCCATGCCAATGTCGGCTACAGGTCTACATGCTGCTTGCCCGCCGAACAGGTTACACGGCCACATCTTGGCTGCTACCAACGCCGCCCCCATACCGCCCAGCAGCACCTTCTGGGAATCTTCCGGCAGGTCTGCCGCCTCGTGCACGGCTTGCGATAGGGTTACCAGCGCGTCTGCTTGCTGAGGGGTCAATGGGGGTGCCGCCTGTTGTTGCGGCTTGGCTTGCTGATTTTTCTGTGATTGTTCTTGTGCCTGTGCTTGTTGATTTCCCGCCTCTGAATCTTTACCCGCCTCCGACTCTGCCTTCCCCTCCATTTCCCCATCTCCTTCCTTTTCAGGCTCTCCTTTATCCCCTTCTCCCTCTCTCCCTCCTCCCCTTCATTCCCCCCCTCCCCTTCATTCCCCCCCTCCCCTTCATTCCCCCCCTCCCCTTCATTCCCCCCCTCCCCTTCATTCCCCCCCTCCCCTTCATTCCCCCCCTCCCCTTCATTCCCCCCCTCTCCTCCTTTTCCCCCCACCCCTTTTTCCCCCTCTCCTTCCTTCTCCTCCTCTTCTTTTTCCCCCGCACCTTCTTTTTCCCCCTCTCCTTCTTTTTCCCCCTCTCCTTCTTTTTCCCCCTCTCCTTCTTTTTCCGCCTCTCCCTCCTCCTCCCTCTCTCCTTCCTTCTCCCCGTCTCGTTCCTTCTCCCCTTCTCCTTCCTTCTCCGCTTCCCCTTCTTTCTCCCCCTCTCCTTCCTTCCCCCTCTCTCCCTTATTCTCTCTCTCTCCTTCAATCTCCCCCTTTCCTTCCTTTCCCCCCTCTCCAGCTCCCTTCCCCTCTCCCTCCTTACGCAATGGCAGTGTGCCTATCTGCTGTGGTGCTACTTGCGGTGCTTTAGCTGGCTGCTGCGCTTCTGCTTCTGCTAATCCCTGCGCTTCACCCTCTTCCGCATTCACAGGAGAAGGTGACTGAGGCTCGCCTTCTGCTTGCGCCTCGGGCACCAGGGGTTGGTGCGATGCTGCCAAACCTGCCGAAACTGTTGAACCTGCCGAACCTGCCAAACCCGAGCCTGCTGGATCTGCCAAGCCTGTCGAACCTGCCGAGCCTGTCGAGCCTGTCGAACCTGCAGTGGGCTGTTGCTTTGAAGAAGGAGCCTCTGCTTGTTTCTGAGCAAGAGGAGAAGGAGGTGCGGCCGGAGGAGCGAGAGGAGGAAGTGCAGGGGAGTTCGGGACGTCAACAGTTCTGCTGCTGCTGCTGCTGCTGCTTGTGGTGCTAGTGCTGTCGGTGCTGCTGGTACCTTCTCTATTGCTGCTACCACGGCTGCTGCTCCAACTGTGCCTGCTGCTGCTGCTGCTGCTGCTTCTGCTTTGCTTACCCCATTGACGTCCTGCAAGTGAACAAGCAGGGTGGAGGGTCGGAAAGAGGGGGACTCAGGGGCGGACCTAAAGGAATCCCGACAAGAAGAGGGGTGAATTAAGGGGGGACAAGCGGGGACCAAGGGGGGGAACAAGGAAGTGGGAGAGCGGGCGCACGGAAGAGATGGACGAGGGAAGGGGGGGAGACTTGACGTTGAGAGCGCGCGGAGCGGTGGGAGTGGGACGGTGGGCGGGAGAAGGCGAGGATGTGAGAGATTGGTGGCGTAAGCGTTGAACTGGGGGAGTAGGGCAGGCGAGGGAAGTGACTTTTGAGTCGACTCAAAAGGGCGTAAGCGTGGTGTAAGCGTTGAAGTGGGGGAATAGGGCAGGCGAGGGAGGTGGGGAGGGAGGAAGGCGAGCAAAGCAGGAGGTGAAGTGAAAAGGAGAATTAGGAAAGGGGGAAGTTGCAGAACGGAGGAGAGGGAAGTGGAAAGAGAAACGGAGCGACAGTGCGAGCATGATGGGACAAATATACGGCGTAGGACGATGGGGAGAAGGCGAGAGGACGAGATCAATAGACGAGAGCGATGGGAAGAGAGCGCGAGAGCAATGGGGAGAGAGCGCGAGAGCAACGGGGAGAGAGCGCGAGGGCACTGACCAGCGCCACGGTGGCCGGCCGTGCGAGCGGCAGATGCGGCGAGGATGAGACAGAGGAGGGCGAGCAGCTGCGTGTGGATCATCACAAGCCGACTCGCACGCACGCCTTGCCGCGGTCCCATGGCGGCCGCACCGACGGACGGACGGACGGACGGACGGACGGAACGACGGAAAAATGGACGGACGGGTCGTCGGGCGGACGGACGGACGCGCAATCTGCTTCTACGCGTGCAAGAACCGAAGAACAAACAGACCAGCAGACAGACGACCAGAACGAAGGGACCGGACGGGTTTAAATAAGCTGCAGAATGGTTCAGGGCTCCTGTCCGCTACTTGATCACAGGAACCGCGATAGAAACGGTCTCTTTGTGGTGACTAAACGCTATCACCAATTTCTTTTCGAAGCAGGGCCCCGTAGCGGATACGCGGAAACGCCTGGCAGCAAGTTGACATGGTAAATTGTAGATAATTTTCCAGTGGCGTTTGTTGACCGAGAGATACCTTATCTCTTATTGGTTCACTAAGTGGTCAGATTCGACTAGTCTAAGAGGTTATTAGGTAAGCAGGTTAGCAAGAATCCTAAATGCAAGAAGCCCACACCTCGGTGTGTGTGGCTGAAGTTGTTGACTTGCCCCAGAACATTGGTCCTCGAGAATGACGAGACCGAATCTCGTTTCAGCGCGCCTCATTATACGCGAATGTGTACTATTGTTAATGACTTAAGTGAAAGTGATTGTTCTTGAAGTGGTAACTTCATTACTTGACGCTTCAACTCAAGTCTTCGCTTTCCCGCGCTGTTGCGTGCTGGGCTGCTAGAACGCTTTCGTTCGTGGGAGCGTGTTACACGAGATTTGGTTTTCGTGCACGCAAACAGGGCTGAAATTCCAGTCGCTGTGTTTCGCTCTCAAACTTCACTTCAGCACAACAGCAGCAGCTCTCCACCCCACGCCCTCGTGTAATTCGAGCCAGATCTGTTCCCAAGAATGTTCTCCAGGGAACTTCTCAATCAGGACTAAAATCACGAAGCGGCGGAAAGGGAGCGCTGTGGGCGCGTACAAGCGGAAATAGATCAACAGACGCTCCTATTCTCCAGCGCTGTGTGTTTCTCCGAATGGTGGACCCTACGTGATCTTTCGGGTTTCGCGCGTTGGTTTTAGGTGCGTAAATCCAGGTAACCGAGTTTATAAAGGCTAGAGGTCGAGCAAATCGGCAACGAGCACTTCGGCCGGAACCAGCGTTGCTGGTTTATCTTCTTCCTGGTGAAAACACTTCACATTCGCGAAATCCTGCATCACATGGTCGTTTCCGTTTCTTATTTACTGGCAAGCATCGAGTTGTTCCTTCATTTCTTCCTTCCTTCTTGCGCCAGGTGCCATCAATCTGTCGATCTCCGATTATCAGAATAGCCTGTCTCTCTCGCTCCTCCTCTCTTCCCAGCTCTGGCTGGCACCTTGTCGTCCACGTGTCGTTCCCGGATTGCGTGCGAACAGGAAACTTAGTCTACACGCGTTTCAGTCATAGCACAAGTACCCCACTCGCCGTCGCCACACTGCGCCACTTCTCCTGTTCTCTTATCGCTTTTAGATCCCCATATATTCCCTAGTTCCCACACACATATCAAGCAGACTTGTTCTGATTAAGCCATCCCAAACCCTAATTTCCAGCGTCCAATCCCTTCAAACTCTAATCTTCAGCATCTAGTCATCTCAAACCCTAACTTCCAACATCCAGTCACTTCGAACCCTAATCCTAATCGTCAGCACTTAGCCATGGCGAACCCGTTCGCCCCAGCGGCGGCCTCCCCGTTCGGCGCGGCGCAGCCGGCGTCTCCTTTCGGCGCCACTTCCGCCTTCGGCGCATCCGCGACTCCCGCCAGTCCGTTCGGCCAGGCGGGCACGTCACTCTTCGGCGGAGGGGCGGCGACAGGAAGCGTGTTCGGCGCGACTTCTGCGCCCGCCTTCGGCGCGACATCCGCGCCTGCTTTCGGCGCAGCGGCGTCGACTCCAGCGTTTGGGTCCACGGCTTCCCCTTTTGGCGGCGGTAAGCGGTGCTTGACGGCGGTGAGCGGTGTTCGCGTATTTCAAGAAAGCGATCCGCGTGTGGTTTGTTCGGCTTACATGGGTCTCAGTCTCAGAGGGCATCAGAAGTTACAATGTTTGCTTAATTCCTTCTGCGCTGGCGCTTCTTTTTATACCCAAACCTGTTGGCTCTCCATGCTCTCCCCATTCACTGCATTTTCCACTGCTAGCATCACCTTCTCCTCTCTCCTTCGCTTTTTTTTTTTTTTCGTTTCTCCCACGCCTCCCCACACCAACAGGTTCGTCGCTGTTCGGGCAGCAGCAGAAGCCAGCAGCCTTCGGCACGTTTGGGCAAACTCAGGCCAGTCCATTTGGAGCGCCCGCCTTCGGCCAGCAGTCCCAGCCGGCGTTCGGAGCAGGCGGGGCGTTCGGCTCCACCGCCACCACGCCTACCTTCGGTGCCGCCACTGGCGCCGCGCCCGCGTTCGGCGCCGCCGCTCCCGCCTTCGGCGCGTCCGCGCCCGCGTTTGGCGCGACCACGACGACGCCCGCGTTTGGCGCGGCGAGCACGCCGGCGTTCGGCGCGACGGGCGGGCTGTTTGGATCCACTGGCACGTCTGCGTTCGGCGCTGCGTCCGCGCCTGCTTTCGGCAGCCTCTCTTCGCCCAGCTTCGGAGGTACGTGTGCTGCCCGCCTCCTTCCCATTCACAACCCTCCATCCATGTCCTCGTTTCTGTCATGGTCACCCCTTGTCATTTTCCCTGTTCCGCCACTTCTCTTCATTCTCATTCTCCTCCCATCCCCTCCCACTCACTCCCCTTCTTCCCCTCCCCATCCCCTCCATTCCCCTCCCTCCCAGCATCAGCGCCTGCGTTTGGAGCAACCACCTTCGGAGCCACACCCTTCGGAGCGGCAGCAGCAGCAGGCACAGGCAGCCGTAACCCCGCGTACGCGCCCACCAACGACACAGAAACCGGCACAGCGGGCCAGCTCGGCAAATTCATCTCCATATCAGCCATGCCAGCCTACAAAAACAAGAGCCCGGAGGAGCTCCGCTGGGAGGACTACCAGAGGGGAGACAAGGGCGGGCCGGCACCAGCACAGGCAGGAGGAGGCCTCTTCGGCCAGCCAGCAGCAGCGGCGTCTCCGTTTGGTGCAGCTGCTGCTGCCCCGGCGTTTGGTTCCGCACCTGCGAACCCGTTCGGCCAGGCGTCCACGCCGAGCCTGTTTGGCTCGGCTGCTCCTGCATTTGGCGCGGCCGCGTCCACGCCCGCGTTCGGCGCGTCAACTTCCCCGTCCCTCTTCGGCTCTTCAACCCCGGCCTTTGGTGCTGCGTCCGCCCCTGCTTTCGGGGCCACTGGAGGGTCGCTCTTTGGCGCTGCTGGCGCCACTGCCAGCAGCCCCTTTGGAGCAGCAGCATCGACGCCCTCTCTCTTCAGCTCGCCCGCTGCCGCCACCGCCTCCCCCTTTGGCGCGTCCACTGGCGCGTCTCTCTTCGGAGCGACCTCAGGGGCGGCGGGTCAGCCAGGGGCTTCCCTATTCGGCGCCTCTTCTCCTGCTTTCGGTGCCAGCGCGTTTGGGACTCCCGGTGCTGCTGCTGCTACTCCCGCGTTTGGTACCACGCCGTCACTGTTTGGGACCGGAGCAGCAACGGGAGGAGGGCTTTTTGGTAGCTCCACGCCTGCTGCTGGCTCCACTGGGCTTGGGTTCGGGTTTGGCACGGCCGGAGCTGCTGGATCGGCGCCAGGGTTTGGTGCGGCGGGAGGGTCGCTGTTTGGAGGGGCAGCGGGAGCGGGCGGCACGACTGGGGCGGGGTTGTTTGGCGCGTCCACCGGGTCGGCGTTTGGGTTTGGAGGAGCGTTCCAGACCAAGCCGGCTGGACTCACTCAGTCTTCGGTACGGGTATCTCTTACTGTCTGGTTTTCTCGTTTTGAGGCGCCTCAAAAATAGCCTCTCTTACTGTCTGGTTTTCTCTCTTCGCTTTTCTCCCACTCACACTCGCAAGTGCATGCTCGCGCGCTCCCTTCTCTCTCTCACGCTCTTACACCTTCGTACACAGAAAATGTCATCACAAGTCCTTGCTCTCCCTCATCCTCTCGCTCTCACTTGGCCATGGCATGGCCATGACCTTACCTCTGCCTTTTCTCGCGCACAAACCTTTTCTCTGCCCCTTGTTCCCTCATTTCCCCTTTTCCCCTTATCTCATGTGCCTCACCCCGCAGGCGTTCCCCTCGTTTGGAGGGCTGGGAGCATCGACAACCACGCCTGGCTTTGGAGCATCACAGCCGGCCTGTGAGTCTCTGTCTGCAACCTCTACCTCCAGGTTCAAGAGCGCTGGTATTGCTGTGTCCTCTTGTGCTACCACACGTGCTGTAGCCGCATTTCGATAGTTCTCATCTCAATTTTCGTGTGAGTTGTTGCTCTGTACCGCCTCCAGCCGCTTCTCGTTTTATCTTTCTTTCAGTCACTCGCGCGCCCCTGTCATTTCGCCTTTTTGACGCTCATATCCTCCCTTCCCTTCTCGCACGCCTGTCTCATACCACAAACTATCCCTCAGCTCTCACCTGTAGCACCTTTTTGTATTCCCCGTTGGGCAATATAGCCTTCATCCGCCTCTCCTCACTGTCCCTCCCCTCCCCTCCCTGCTCTCTCCCATGCAGTCGGCGGGGGCCTCTTCGGCTCCACCCCTCAGCTGGGCTCCTCTCCCTTTGGCGCCTCGTAAGTCATCCTCTCCTTGCCTTCCCCCCTCCCCTTCCTCCCCCTTGCCCCCTCCCAGCACCCTTCCCTCCCCTTCTCCCCCCCACCCTTCCCCTTCCCCGGCTCCCCGTCCCCTCCCCCGACCCGTTCCCCTTCCCCTCCCCCTTCCCCCCTTCCTTTCCTCCCTCCCCCCCCCCCCCCCCCCAAAACCAGTTTTTCTCCCCTTTTGTTGTTTTTTTTGTTTTGTTTTTGTTTCGTCTCTCCTGGCACTTGTTTAGCTTGCGTCTCGCTTTTCCAGGATCCGTCCGTGCTCCCTCCCTCCCAGCACCCTTGTGAACTCCTGTCTTCCCCGCTCCAGTCTGGTGCAGCAGCACTGCTGAAATCACTTATGTAAAAGCTCAAAAGCCGTCTCTTCTCCCTCCCTCCCAGCGCCCCTGATATTTTCCCGTTCTCCCCGCTCCAGTCTGGTACAGCAGCACTTGCAGTCCTTACTATTCGCCTTATGAGGCGCCTCAAAAGTTGTCTGGTGCAGCAGCACTTGCAGTCCTTACTATTCGCCTTATGAGGCGCCTCAAAAGTTGTCTGGTGCAGCAGCACTTGCAGTCCTTACTATTCGCCTTATTCGTGCCCGTTGCTCCCCGCCCAACCACCCTTTTCCTCTCACGCCCCTCTCACGCCAGCCTTGGAGCGACCGCCACGGGAGGTCTGTTTGGTCAGTCGCAGCAGCAGCAACAGCAGCAGCAAATGCAGCTTCAGCAGCAACAGCAGCAGCAGCTGCTACAGCAGCTGCAGCAGTCGGGGCTGCTTCAGTCGCCCTTCGGTGTGCTGCCTGCAATGCCCAACTTCGGCCTCGGTGGTTCTGCTGGCGGGGTCAGAGCCAGCACAGAGCTTGGGATCTCCAGCATGCCCGTGAGTACAATAACCTAAAGAACATGCTTTTTTCTAATGCATTTGTGTAAGTGTCAAAGCAACTGTTTTTTGTGCCTTTGCATCCTTCGCATGTTTCTTCTTCTTTCCCCTTAAATAGCAAGCATCGAGGCACCATCTCTCATGCCTTGCCACATAAAGTTGAGTCCTGAATCAACTCCAGACTTCCCAGTAAACTCCCCTTTTGTTCCATCGCCTTTCTCCCCAAACCACAGGCGTCAGACCGCTATGCTTCAGGCACGCGCGTGTCCTCCATCCTCACGCCCCGCCGCATCACTCCCCGCACGCGCGCACGCCCTGCCGCCACGCGCCACTTCCACCCGGGGCGAGACACCGCCCGCGTGCCCTTCTTCTTCTCCTCGCCCTCCGACCACGACGACCTCTCCCCCGCCGTGCCCCGCGCCGACGCCCTCTTTGTCCCCCGCGACAACCCCCGCGCCCTCTTCATCCGCCACCCCGTCGCCCCTGCCGCTGCTCACACCGCTGCTGCTGGTGGTACTCGCGGTGCTGACGCGAGCCCGAATGGGAAGAGCCCTGCTGCTGCTGGAGGGACGCCGGGCAAAACAGGGTCGCCGCAGGGATCAGACTACCAGTCGCCCCCTTCAGGGGTTTCTCCCCGGGATGCCTTCTACGCCCCTTCCGCTCCTCCCTACGATTCCTCCGATCTGAATGGCAATGGCGGGTCGCAGTCCCCCAGGAGCCCCTCTGCTGCCCGCGCAGGAGCCACAGGCGGAGGGTTTGGATCCGCCATGCCATCCCCCACTCTCTCCCCTGCCTGGAATGGCTCCTTCTCCCCACCCTCCCCCTCGCGTGGCACTGGTACCGGTTCGAAAGGTCCCGGGATCGAATCCCAGCTGCCGCAGTTAAAATCCGCGGATTATTACACCGAGCCGTCACTCTCCGCTCTAGCTGCGCTTGAGCGCTCGCTCCCAGGGTCTCTGGCGCGCGTGCGGGACTTCGTGGTGGGCCGCAAGGGGTTCGGGAGCGTGCGGTTTCTGGGCGAGACGGACGTGAGGGGGCTGGATGTTGAGGCGATAGTGCAGTTTCACAAGTGTGAGATTCTGGTGTATATGGATGAGGAGAGCAAGCCGTTGGTGGGGGAGGAGCTGAATAAGCCTGCAGAGGTGACGCTGCTGCAGGTGGTGTGCGTCGATAAGAAGACCGGCAAGGCGGTGAGTGCTTCTGATTGTTGTCTTTTCCTGTCCCGTTCAGTATTATGTTTGATGGGTTTAGCGATTTGAACACAAGCTGCGGCGGTGGGTTCTGCGTTTGAGTTTTGAGGCGCCTTAAATGCTTATTTTTGCTTAAATCTCATGCGAGCAGGTGACGGAGGGCCCCGAGGTGGAGCGGTTTGAGCGCAAGCTGCGGCGCAAGACAGCGGAGCAGGAGGCGGAGTTCCTGTCCTTCAACGCCGCCAAGGGCGAGTGGGCTTGCAGACCACATTCTTACTCCCCTTCCCTCCTCTCTCCCGCTCTCTCCTCCGACCCTCTACTCCCTTTTGCACATGTCACCCGTTCCCTCCCCTCCCTCTCCCCTGCCCCCCTTCCCCCAACGCCCACGCGAGCAGGTGACGGAGGGGCCGGAGGTGGAGAGGTTTGAGCGCAAGCTGCGGCGCAAGACAGCGGAGCAGGAGGCGGAGTTCCTGTCCTTCAATGCTGCCAAGGGCGAGTGGCGCTTCAAGGTGCAACACTTCAGCCGGTACGGCCTGGAGGATTCAGATGATGAAGAGGAGGAGGAGGAGAGGGAGAGAGAGGATGATGGAGAGTTAGGAGAGGAGTATGAGACTGATGAAGGTCTGAGTGGTGATGGTGATGGTGATGCTGCTGATGATGGCGGCGGTGATGGTGGTGGTAGTCGTGGGAGGGTGTCTCTGCCTCCTGGCAGCGTGTCACTGGACCGGGCGTTGCCAGCTCAGCTGGGGATTGACCCAATCAGGCTGCAGCAGATGCGCCACATCATGTTCGGCCGCAGTGCCAACAAGAATGAGGATGATGACGGTGAGGGGTACAACAGCGGGCTTGTGGGTGGGATGGGTTTGACCAGCGCCAAGAGGAAGCAAGGGGGGTTGGGGGCGGAATCAATGGATTCCGATTGGCAGGGCTGGGGATCAGGGAAGGCTCCTAGGTTCGGCGTGCTAGGAGCGGCCGCCGCCGCTGCGGCTGCTGCCAGTGCTACTGCTGCCGCCGCTGCCGCCGCTGCTACTGGTGGTGCTGCCGGCAGTGCTGGTACGACCAGGAAGGCAGTTGATCCTTGGTCGAATCCTTGGGCAGCTGGATTCAGGGGAAACAGGAGGGCAGGCGGGCGGGGAGCACAGAAGCCGGCCTCCTTCTTGGCAGGCAGCAGGAGGGGCGTGCGGGTTTTTCCAGAGTTTGAGGCTGGGCCACCAAGCGTAGGAGCAGCCGGAGCAGGAGCAGCAGCAGGGGCAGGGGCGAGCGCTGTGCTGGTGTCAGGGCTGCAAGGCCGAGTGCATGCCCACGTGCACCCGGGTGCTGCTGCCGCGTCAGGATTCGAATGGACCATCCCAAACGCGTTGCCTGGGAAAGGAGCAGGAATCACAGCAGCCGGGGGAGCAGGGGCAGTGGCGGGAGCGGCCGGAGCGACAGCGGTAGCGCAGGCAGTAGCAGCAGTGACGGTGGTGGCGACGGTGCCAGGGGAGGGAAGCAGCGGCGTGGCAGTGGACGCAGGGTTGTTCCTCGGCCGCTCCTTTCGTGTGGGCTGGGGGCCAGGCGGGGTGCTGGTGACCCCAGGCAGGGTGCTGCCTGCTGGGAGCTTCGCTGGTGGTAACCGCGCTGCAGCAGATGTTACAGATGTAACGAATGTGACTCCCATCTCGTCCAAGCTCACTGTCACTCAGGTGGCCTTCTCCCCCTGGTCCTCCCTTGCTCCTCCTCTTGCCTCTTCGTCCTCTCCTTTTCTCGCTAGTCCCCTCAAGTCCCTCAGTCCAGGGGGGGTAGGGCGGGACGCGGAGGCAGCAGCAGCAGCGGAGAGGGGAGCAGCGGAGCGGGAGCGGCTGCAGCAGCTGCTGCTGATTGAGCCGTTGCTGCTGCACTTTCAGTCGAGTAGGGTGGTGGGGGAACGTGGGAGAGGGCGAGAGGGACTATGGGGCGCAGGTGGGGAGGGGGACGGAGAGGTGCTGCAGAGTGAGGAAGAGGAAGGGGAGCAGGGGGAGAAGAGCGAAGATGAGGAGATGGAGGGGGAGGAGAAGGGTGGGAGAGAGGAGGGGAGAAAGGAGGGGAGGGAGTGGGTGGGGCGACGGCTGGTGTGCAGCCGGCAGGGCGGCCGCCTGGCCTCCCTGTGCCGGCGCTACAGCTCCCTGGCTGTAGCAGCTGCTGACGCCCTTGCTGCTGCCCGGGCACAGGCTGGGCAGGGGCGGGTTGTATCTGGGGTGGGCGTATCTGAGCGGCAGCTGCAGCACGAGCAGGCGGTTTGGCAGCTTGTGGACGTGTTGTTCTCTGATTGGCAGGGCAGGAGGCGCAGTGACGTCATGCAGGGGTCTGGAAGGGTGGAGATGGGTGGAGAGTTTGACGGAGGTGCTGCTGATGGGTCAGGTGAAAAGGCAGGTGGTGGTTCAGGTGGGAAATCGGGGGATGGGTCGATGGAGGAGGAGGAGAGGGATGGGGAGGTGGAGGATGGGTATGGGGAGATGGAGGGGATGAGTGGGGGTGGGCAGGGAAGTGGGATGGGCCCAGGGGAAAGGGGGCAGGGAAGTGGGATGGGCCCAGGGGAAAGGGGGCAGGGAGAACGGGAGGAAGCAGCACTGAACAGGCGTCTGTTTACAGATGATGATGCGGAGGAGACTCTAGGAAGCGCCGCTGCTGCTGCGACTGGTGCGGCTGGTGCTAATAGACAGCCACAGTGGATTGGGGGGTTGGCTAACGCTGAGGAGGAAGAGAGGGGGAGTGAGGAGGAGGAGGAGCAGGGGGGAGTAACCGAGGAGGAGGAGGAGGAGGAGGAGGAGGAGGAGGAGGAGGAGGAGGGTGGTGATGAGGATGAAGAGGAAGCAGGGGAGGAGGAGCAGGAGGTGTATGATGAGGAGACCATGGCATTGTTCCGCAGAGCGGAGTTCAGCGCATGGCTGCAGGCTGTGGTGGCACCGGCCATCGTGCACGAACTCAACTCCCTCGCTGACAACGCTGCCAACCCTAACACCACACGCAACCCCCTCACCACCACCAACGCACTCACACGCAACAGCACACCCACCACCGCCACGCCTGCTGAAGATGCTGCAGCGCTGCCTCTGCGGGTGGCTTTTACAGCGCTCACAGGCATGCAGGTGGCGACGGCCGTGGGCGCGGCCGCTTTCACAGGGGACGTGCGTCTTGCCGCCATGCTCTCCCTCGCCCACTCCGCCCCCCCTGCCACGCGCGCCGACGCCGCCCGCCAGCTGGCGCTCTGGGAGAGGCTGGCGGGCGGGAAGGGAGATAGGGATGGGGTTTCGGGGGAAGAGGTGGTTTCGTTGCAGGAGTTGGCGGAAGGGGCGTTGGTGAGTGTGGAGAGGCTTCGGCTGCTGCGGCTGGTGGCAGGGGATGTTACTGGGGCGCTGGAGGGTCGGCCCCTGGACTGGAAGAGGCACCTCGGGCTGCTCATGTGGTTCGGCATGCCCCAGCCTCGCCGCTAGGCTCGGTGATTGGGGAGTTTCGGAAGAGAGTGAAGGTTGGCAGGGTGCCGAGGGCGATTCCGTGGTATGAGGAGACGATTGGGGTGGAAGGGGGTGAGAGGGCGGAGTGGGAGCGAATTGGGGGAGGGATGGGGGGAGGTGTGGGCAAGGGGAAGGGGAAGGGGAATGAGAAGGGAGAGGGAGAGGGAGAGCGAGGGGCAGAGGGAGAGGGAGGAGTGGAGGATGTGCTGTATGGGTTGTTGGCTCTGCATTTGAAAGAGGAGATTGAGAAAGGGAAGGTGGAGGGTGATGGTGCTGATGAAGGTGATGACGTGGCGGTTGATGTGGCAGCGATGCTGAGGTGGCGATCGTGGAGTCGTGATGCGCTGGACTGCCATCTGACGTGGCATCTTCAGAGTGTGCTGCAGGTAACAACTAATTTGCTCAGTCTGGTTCATTGTGCCTCACGTTACCGAACCTAGTGCTGATTTTCCACGTCTCCCCCCCCTCCCCTATCGTTGCCTTCTAAACTTTGAACCTTAAATACGAAATCTTAAACCCTTGCCTCCAAACCATTTTCCCCCCCCTCCAATCACATCAGGCCATTGGAGCGGTGCGGGCCAATGAGGTGCTGCCAGCTGTGCACATGGACTACGTGGCGCAGCTGCTAGCAGCCAACCAGCCCCACTGGGCGCTCTACTGCCTGCAGCATGTCCCGCCTTCCCAGAAGCTTCCGCGGTGGGCCCTAGAGCGCGCGTTCAGGGAGGTGCTGGCGGTGTCGTGCCCGGTGTGGGCGGCGAGTGAGGAGCAGCGCAGCTTCATTGAAGGGCAACTGCTTGTGCCACGCTCGTGGATGTGTGCTGCTCAGGTGGGTTTCTAGCTGGCTCAGAGGGTTAAGGAGGGGGGAGGCAGGGAGGTGCTGGCGGTGTCGTGCCCGGTGTAGGCTGCCAGTTAGGGGCAGCAGAGTTTTATCGAGGGACAGCTGCTCGTGCCACGCTCGTGGATGTGTGCTGCTCAGGTGGGTTGTGCTGCACCTGTACGGCGTACGCCACTGCTCAGGTGGGTTGTTGTGCACCTGTACGCCACTGCTCAGGTGGGTTGTTGTGCACCTGTACGCCACTGCTCAGGTGGGTTGTGCTGCACGTTTACGCCACTGCTCAGGTGGGTTGTGCTGCACCTGTACGGCGTACGCCACTGCTCAGGTGGGTTGTTGTGCCTTACCAGTAAAGGTGCAGTGGCGTGCTGCAGTGCCTGCTGGGTCGTCTAGTCGCACGTGCCTCACCTCCACTCTCTCCCCTCCCGCACCTCCCCTTTTTTCGCCCCTCATCCCCCCCCACCCACCATCGCTACGAGGGGCGGCGTAGTGACGAGCTGCAGTGCCTGCTGAGTCTGCACCTCCCCCCCCCTTCACCTCCCTCTCCCACCTGCCCCCCTGCTTCTTCCCCCCCCCCCCCCCCACAACCACCAGGCGGTGCACCATCACTACGAGGGCCGGCGCAATGATGAGCTGCAGTGCCTGCTGAGCAGCTTCCAGTGGGACGGCGCCCACCGCCTCTTCATGAACCACCTCGCAGCTGCCTGGATTCTAGCAGGTGTGCCTTCCTGCTTTCATGGGCTGTTGCTTTCTGAGGGGGTGTTTCACGCGGGCTGTTGCATGGCGGAGGGTGATTGGGCACTACAAGCACGCACCAGTGGGACCGTGTAGTTTTGAGGCGCCTCAAAACTAGACTGTTGCATGGCGGGGGGTGATGGGGCACTACAAGCACGCACCAGTGGGACCGTGTAGTTTTGAGGCGCCTCAAAACTAGACTGTTGCATGGCGGGGGGTGATGGGGCACTACAAGCACGCACCAGTGGGACCGTGTAGTTTTGAGGCGCCTCAAAACTAGACTGTTGCATGGCGGGGGGTGATGGGGCACTACAAGCACGCACCAGTGGGACCGTGCCCACTTGCTTTTCACGAACCACCTTGCTGCCGTGAGTGGATTGTATGTAGCAGGTGCGTTATTCTGATTTCTGGGCTGGGTTCTGGTGCGTTATTAAGATTCTTTTGTGTGTGGTGCTTTGTCGAAATTCGTAAGCTTTTGAACCCTGAGGGGAGTCCGTGACTACTAGCCGGCTCCTGTAGTCAGAGTGGTGGCAGAATAACCCTCTAATCTCCCCGCATCCGTTCTCCTGTACTTGTTCCCCTGCAGAGCGTTGGTCAGAGGTGCAGCAGCTGATGGAGGGGTTGGAGATGCATGGGGAGGCCATTTACGGGTGGAAAGAGGGAGGGCGGCTGCTTTTGGACTACATGCACCTGTCTGCCGCCCTGGACGGACAGGCGATTCTGCCCACCGAAGAGATTACGGTGAGTGGGATGGAGGAGAAGGAAACAGAGTCTCTGGGAGAGGGGGGGAGGGTGGGTGGGTTGAGATTGGTGGTTTCGCCTTTTATTTTGGTTTGGCTTAACTTCAGCAACGTGTTGCTTAAGTAAACTGTGGATTTCCAACCAATCACCATCCGACAGGTGTCAGTTGCTGACGGGGCGGAGGCATTGTCGGAGTTCTCTCAGCGCACGGCTCAGTCTCTCCGCACCTTCCCCAAAGATGCGCCCCGCCTGCGGTGAGTGCTTCACCGTGTTTGTGCATGTGCAAGTGCGTTCGTCTGCATTTTCCAGGCATGTTCTACAAAACGGATGTGTTTCTCTATTTCATGAGGCATGCACAAAGTTCTGTACCCCAGTGCTGACAACTCTGACAAAAACTGGCAACAACTGGATATTTATTCCAGGCTGATTTTTTTTCTTTCTTCCTTCTCCCAACCCGTCCTTCCCCATTCCCCCTTCCCCCCCTCTCCCCCGTTTCCCCTCCTCCCCCTCTCCCCCCTTTCCTCTCTTTCTTCATGGCAGTATGGTGTATGCTCGCATGCTCGACTCGCTCTCTCGCTCCTTCCTCACCCACACTGCAGCAGCCACAGCTGCTGCCGATGATGGTGATGCAGCAGCAGGAGCCGCCGCCTCTGCTCCTCTAGATGCAGCGCTGGCTACCTCTGCCCTCCCTGCCCTCCCTCGGGATTCCCGCCTCGCTTTCACTCGCGAGGCGGCGTCAGAGCTCGCCAGCTGGCTTGCTGAGGTGGCACCAGTGCAATAGAAGGGGGTAGATGGAGCAGTGTGTGTAAAGATAGTGCAGTGACTGGTGAAATAGCTTTGCGCGTTCAACCTTTGTTCTTGTTTCTGTTTTGTTTTTGTCATTCAATAGCTTGTTGCCCACATAGTAATGGACGGGAAGATGGCTGCAACTGCATTGTCCAGGTTCAACTAATGTTGTTATGGCATTCTAGCATCATGTTGGCTACCAACCAGCCCACAGCAGAAAAAGGGCCAGGCAGACCATAATCAGCACGTAACTCACAATGTATGGTACCATAGTTGGAAAAACCAGCCAATGCCACAAGCAAGACTATTCCCAGCACCACAAGAAGCCCTTGAAACCCCGGTTTCTAGTGGCATGCCTTGATGAGCTCTCTGGTGAGGCGCAGGTGGCTTTGCGAGGGGAAGGTACCTAGTGGAGGTGGTGGAGGTGGTGGAGGTGGTGCTTCTGCTGATAGCATCTCCTCCCGCCACATCATCCTGCCACCCATCCAACACCTCCACTGCCATTGGTTCAACTGCCATCTCCAACCAATCGCCCTCTCCTCCTCCAAAGCATCCCCCTCCTTCCCCAGTGCCCATCGCCTCCTCCCAGCAATCCCACTCCTACTGGCAGGCTTTCATGAGCTCTCTGGTGAGGCGCAGCACAGATGGCTCTGCAAGGGGAAAGCAGTTGAAGTGGTGCTTCTGCTGATGGCATCCCCTCCCACCCACCACATCATTCCTGCCACCCATCAAACATCTCCAATGCCATTGCCTCCAGTGCCGCCCTCTCCTTCTCCAGTACCGCCCTCTCCTTCTCCAGTACCGCCCTCTCCTTCTCCAGTACCGCCCTCTCCTTCTCCAGTACCGCCCCCTCCTTCTCCAGTACCGCCCTCTCCTCCTCCAACCACCCGCACTTCCTAGTGGCAGGCTTTAATGAGTTCTCTGGTGAAACGCATGGTGGAGTGCGAGGGGAATGTGGTGGAGGTGGTGCTTCTGCTGATGGCATCCCCTCCCACCACATCATCCTGCCACCCATCCAACATCTCCAACGCCATTGCCTCTAGTGCCTCCCTCTCCTCCTCCAACGCATCCCTCTCCTCCCACGCCTCCCCCGCCTCCTCCTCCTCCTCCCCTCTCTCCCACACATGCTCCTCTCTCTCTCCTTCCCTCCTCCCCTCCTTCCCCACGCCATCTCCACCCACGCCATCCCCCTCTGACGCCTTTGCTGCATCCCCTCTGCCCACCACACTATCCTGCTTCTCCTTCTTCCATCTTTTGAACAGCCCCCTCCATCCCCCTCGATTCCTCCCTTCACCAGTTGAACCTGCCTTCCCACCATCAACCCCAGCTGCTCCTCCCCCGTGCAAGCTTTCACTCAGATAAGCCTTCACCAGTCCACCCAGACCAGTCCCCACCTGCTCCTCCTCCACAAACCACTGCCGAGCCTCAGCTTCGGCCTTCCTCCCACCCTGCCTGCACTTCCAAGCCTCAGGCCCGGGGTCAGCTTCGGGCCGAACGACCCTCAGGATCCCCGAGCCTGCCGGGACCCCCTGGATGTTGACCTCTTCTGATTGGTCCACGTGGAGCCTGGAGAGCAGCGCCAGCTCATCTCTGTCCAGCTGGCGCGCTGTGGTGGCAACAGCGGCCGCTGCTTCAGCATGTGCCGCGGCTGCTGCTGCTTCGGCTGCTTCTGAATCGCGCTGCTCCTGCTGTCGCTCCAGCTGCATGCGCGTGCGGAACGAAAGAGCCGCTTTTCGCTCCAAACGCGGCCGCGGCCGTGCCTGCTCCTGCTGCTGCTCCTGCTGCTGCTGCCCCTGGCGCTGCTGACGTTGATGCTGCCAGGGCGAAGGCTCTTCTCTCCTCTGTGTCTTGTCAGCCATCTCCCCACCCTCCCCACCCTCCCCACCCTCGTCACCCCCCACCACCCGAACGCCTGTCCTGATGCCATCCCATGCAGCACCGAGAGCGACGGCTCAGATAAAGCCGGGCTGGGAGGCTCCTCCCCCTCCCCGCCCTCCTCGCTCCCCTCCCACACATCCCCTGCTGTGGCGAACCCTTCAGAAGCATCCACTGTTCCATCCACAATGCCGTTTTCCGTCGCGAAGTAAATGCCAGAGTTGGGAGTGTGACCGGTGTGGTAAGAGGAGGCGGTGGTGGTCTGGTCCCCTACAAAGCTTGCTGCGTGGCTGCTTTTGATGCGACTCACAGAGCTGCTACCTCTGTGGGTGCCAGATACCCTGCCGGCAATAACAGCAGCAGCAGCAGCAGCAGCAGCAGCAGCAGCACCACCACCACCACCAGACAAGCCTTCAAGAGGAGAGCACGGCCCTCCTCCTCCTCCTCCTCCTCCTCCTCCTCCTCCTCCTCCTCCTCCTCCTCCTCCTCCTCCTCCTCCTCCTCCTCCTCCTCCTCCTCCTCCTCCTCATCCACCTTCCCCCTCCACCACATCCTCTCCCACATCCTCTGCCTCTGCCTCTGCCTCTGCCTCTGCCAGTGGGAGTGGTAGGAGCGCTGAAGGAGGGAACGGCAGTGAGAGAACCCTCACGTGGGCCACTGTAAGGAGGCCACTTCATAGAGAATCCCCCATGCCCATGAGCCCCACTGAAGGGGGACAGCAGAGAGCCTCCATGCAGCCCTTCGGACGACCCAGGGGCAGTCAGGAACGAGGTAGAAGGGCGGAAACGCGGCAAAGAATCGTATCTTGTCTGGATGGCCGGCTGCCTGTCATGTGCTGCCACGTGGCTGTGGGAGTGGGGGTGGTGGGCGGAGTGTGTGACTCGTATTGGCGGAAGCAGGTTGGGGCGGTTGAGAGGAAAGCCACGGTCCAGCCTTGGCCCACCCTCTCTGCCACCCCTCCCCTCTCTCTCACCACCAGTTGCAGCACCACCATCAGCAACACCACTATCGATTTCTGAGTTCATTACCTCATCAGCCCTCCCACCCTCCCCTCTCTCGACCATGAATCTCTCCCTCTCCCCCATCTCCCCCTCCACTCTCTTCTCCTCCCCTCTCTTCTCCTCCCCTCTCTCTCTCCTCCCCTCTCTTCTCCTCCCCCCTCTCACCCTCCCCCCTCTCACCCTCCCCCCTCTCCTCCTGCTTCTTCCGAGTCTCCTGCTCCCAGTCCAGAGACTCCCCACCTGTTCTCCTCCTCCCCCTCCCCCTCCGTCGCAGTCCCATCTGCTCCCCATTACTCGCCTTCCTCGTCCTACCACCTCCCTCTTTCTTCCCTTCACTCCCCCCTCCTCCTGCCTTATCCCCACCACCAGCATCAGACCCTTCCTTCCCTTCACTCCCCCGTCTCTTTCTTTCTTCCTTTGCCTTATCCCCACCACCACCAGCATCAGACCCTCTTCCTGACCCACGATCCCCACCCGCTTGCCTCTTCTCCCCCTCCCGTCCCTCACCCCCCTCCGCTCCTCTCTCCTTCCTGTCCCTCCCCTCGCTCTCCCTGCTTCGCACCCCCCTCACCTCCTCCTCCTCCCTCCTCTCTGCTTCCTCCGTACTGATCACAGTCACCGCCAACCGCACTCGACCGCGCCCCACTCCTCTCAGCGTCTCCCACATCTCTCGCCTGCCGCCCCGCCGATACTTCCCCACGTCCACCACACAATACCTGGTGGGGAAGGGAGGGAGGGAAAGGGGGAGGGGAAGAGGCGGAGTGAGAGTGAATTGACGCGACTCTTGAGTTGACTCTTGACTTGACTCTTGAGTTGACTCAAAAGTCAACTCTGCCGATACCTGCACCTAGCATGCTGCCAGCACTCACCTGAAATCCTCACCTGCCAGCACTTACGGGCTGCTTTCGAGAATCTTCACCCGTGAGAGGCACTCACCCAGGGCACTCACCTGCCAGGACCTGCCAGAACCTGCCAGAACCTGCCAGAACCTGCCAGAACCTGCCAGAACCTGCCAGCACCTGCCAGGCAGCACTCACCCGAGGTCCCTGGAGCACAGAAAGGACTTATCCAGGACCCTGAGCACGAGCAGGTTGCTGAGGTGCCATGAGAACACGCAAGCACCCCAGGCAGCTGCCACTCACCCGAGGTCCTTGGAGGACCTGTGCAGGTAAGCACGGACTCACCCGAGGTCCCTGGAGCACAGAAAGGACTTGTCGAGCACGCGCAGCACGAGCAGGTTGCTGAGGCGCCTCAAAACTAGAGTGCGGGTCCAGCGACTCCCACACGATGTGCGTGGTGACGGCAAGCCAAAGCTTTACTCCCCTCAGCACTCACCTGAGGCACCTGCACTGCCAGCACTCACCTGAGGCACCTGCACTGCCAGCACTCACCTGAGGCACCTGCACTGCCAGCACTCACCTGAGGCACCTGCACTGCCAGCACTCACCTGAGGCACCTGCACTGCCAGCACTCACCTGAGGCACCTGCACTGCCAGCACTCACCTGAGGCACCTGCACTGCCAGCACTCACCTGAGGCACCTGCACTGCCAGCACTCACCTGAGGCACCTGCACTGCCAGCACTCACCTGAGGCACCTGCACTGCCAGCACTCACCTGAGGCACCTGCACTGCCAGCACTCACCTGAGGCACCTGCACTGCCAGCACTCACCTGAGGCACCTGCACTGCCAGCACTCACCCCAGGTCCCTGGAGCTCAGAAACGACTTGTCGAGCACTCTCAGCACGAGCAGGTTGCTCAAACGCCACGAGAACACGGGTGCTGTGAACTCGCGAACCACTGCGGGTCCAGCGACCCCCACACGATGCGCGTGGTGAACCGCGCCGCTCCCAGCGCGCACTTGACGTACGCGTCTGACGTGCCGTCGAGGTTCGCTGGCTTTAAGTGCCTCGCCTCGATGATCTCGACGGCCACGAAGGCGACCGGGCGGGAGGAGTCCACGTGGAGCGCGGCGGTGAGAGGGGGTAGTTGGTGGGGCTGGGGTGGGTAGGCTGGGACTGCTGAGGGTGCTAGGGGTGATAGGGGTGCTGGGATTGCTGGGGGAGTGCGTGAGGGTGCTGCGGGCGAGGGTGCTGCGGGCGAGGGTGCTGCGGGCGAGGGTGGTGCTGTTGTTTCTGTGTTGTCGGGAGGGGTGGTTGCAGGGGAATGGGGAACGAACTGGGAGATCCCAGCTGCCTGGGCCGCGGCGAGCATGGCAGGCGGGAAGGGAGGCACAGAGGAGGTGGGAGGCACAGAGGAGGTGGGAGGCACAGAGGAGGTGGGAGAGGAAAGAGAGCTGGGAACAGTGCTGGCAGCACTGGGGACAGGAAAAAGGGTGGGAACAGTGCTGGCAGCACTGGGGACAGGAAAAAGGGTGGGAACAGTGCTAGCAGCACTGGGGACAGAAGAAACGGTGGGAATTCTGGTAGCAGCACCACCAGTGGGAGTGGCAGTGGCAGCGGGAGAGGCAGCAGCAGCACCCGCTGCGTGGCTGGCTTGCTGGGAGCAGTGCGTGCAGTGAGGGCCGTGTGGGTGGTGAGGGTGTTGGGAGTGAGAGTGATGCGCGGAGTGATGCGCGGAGTGATGCGCGGAGTGATGCGCGGAGTGATGCGCGGAGTGATGCGCGGAGTGATGCGCGGAGTGATGCGCGGAGTGATGCGCGGAGTGATGCGCGGAGTGATGCGCGGAGTGATGCGCGGAGTGATGCGCGGAGTGATGCGCGGAGTGATGCGCGGAGTGATGCGCGGAGTGATGCGCGGAGTGATGCGCGGAGTGATGCGCGGAGTGATGCGCGGAGTGATGCGCGGAGTGATGCGCGGAGTGATGCGCGGAGTGATGCGCGGAGTGATGCGCGGAGTGATGCGCGGAGTGATGCGCGGAGTGATGCGCGGAGTGATGCGCGGAGTGATGCGCGGAGTGATGCGCGGAGTGATGCGCGGAGTGATGCGCGGAGTGATGCGCGGAGTGATGCGCGGAGTGATGTGAAGGGTGATGTGAAGGGTGATGTGAAGGGTGAGGGGGGTGAGGAGGAAGAGAGGAAGCGGCGGGTGAGGGCGAGAGGAAGAGGTGGGCTAGGCGGGCGACGTCTAGCACGAGCATGTTGGGGGCCACCATTGATGACTCCAGCGCTGTTGCTAGCATCTCATCCTGTTGCGCATGCATGTGTGGATGCAAGGGGGGAGGGGAGGAGAGGAGCGCGCTATAAGGAGTCAGCTAGCTGCCCGGTCACCCAGTCACCCATCCATCCAGCCAGCCAGCCAGCCAGCCAACTGGGTGCGAAAATCCCTCATAGTGCACGCACGCACCAACCGGCATTTGGGTCGACTCAAAAGTCACTCCGCAATGCACCCACCAGCCCACCCACCAACCTGTTGAAGGTGGTTAGCTAACCACGACCTAGAACGACCTAACGCGATCTACATCGACCTAAGAAGAATCCGGCTTGACGAGATGAGACTAAGGGAAAGCGAAGACCTAAGAAGAAGATGAGCTACCTATGTTGGGGCGGTGGAAGGAGAAACAAGGCAGAGACTAGACCTGCGATGGGAAATGAAGAGAAGGAGAGGAAGCGTGCTGAAATGGAGAAGAACACAGCTGAAATGTCGAGATATCAAGTGACGTGATGAGAAGTCACGCCGGGTCAAAGGCGCGTCCAATGAAGTATGAAATTCGAACTCGAGGCGCGTTCGGTGCATGGTTGGATTTGGGAATTGAGCCGAGTACAACTCAGCTCGATATTAGGCGCGGCGCGAGGGCGAAATCAGAAATCCTTTTGCTTATAACTTGCTTTGTGTTTTCTGTTTTTGTATGCCTTCTTCAATGAAATTACTTGAACTTTCTGCCTTGGCGTTTTTTCCAGCAAATTCCTTCACATAGTTGAAGCCAGAGCTTCTTATGCATACTACTAAGACTCTAAATAGTCTTCATAGTCTAGACTAAAGGCTGCACACGTACAAGAGCTGGTATCAGAGCTGGTTTAAGGCGCGTTCTAGCGTTTTAAGGATAGGCGGAATTGTCTGAGTATGACGGGCGATCATACAGAGGCGAGTTCGGGCTCCTCTGTGAGCATTGGAGGCTCAGAACTACAGGCCATCCTAGCGGCGCTAGCACAAGCTAAATTGACGGCGAAGCCAACGATTGGGCTTAGCGAGGCCCAACGATTCAATGGCGAAAGCTATAGCACGTGGCGACTCAAGTTCATTCGTAGAGCGGAGGAAGTGGATCTCTGGCCGTACTATCATCCCGACAAGGAGACGGGAGAGGGCGTCCCACCATCTGCAAAAGAAAAACCAGAGGAAAATGCGTCGTTCAAAAAAAGGAGTAAGCAAGCATTTTTTCAATTATGTCATTCGGTTTCGGATAACATTGCAGTGGGGCTGGATCAATTTGCGGGAGAGGAGAACTCTGCCGAACGAGCCTGGGAGTACATGGAAGCTGCCTACCTTGGGCTTACGGATACGAACAAAGCAGCCATTCGGAAGAAACTCCTTCTATTGAGTATGGAGCCAGGGGAGAGGGTCATTGACTACATGAATCGAGCAAAGGGGTACAATGACGACCTCAAGGCTATGGGGGCAGCTGAAACTGAAGGAGAAATGATGGGGTACATCATTACTGGGCTGCCCAAGGAGTGGGAAGCAGAGATAGGGCTCCTAACCTGCAACCCACCCACGAATATGACCAAGCTGTTAGAGACGCTCCAAGCTCTGGAGCGGGTGAAAGCTGATCGGCTCAGGAAGGAGATTAGCTTGAACGGAATGGGACCAGCCACCCATGCTATGGTAAACGCAGCAGCGACATGGAAAGGATACGGAAGTTTTGTGGTGTGTTTTCAGTGTGGGAAGAAGGGTCATAAGCAGATAGACTGCTATGACAACCCGAGGAGCAGAAATTTCAAGGGAAAGTGGAGCGGTCTGCAGCAGAAGGGCTTGCAAAATGGAGGGCAGCAGAAAGAGGGGGAGTTTCGAGGCGATAACAAGGTGCAGAGAGGCGGATTTTCAGGGGCATGTCACTATTGCCAGAAAATTGGGCATAGGGCAGCCAACTGCTACTCGAACCCCAACAGCAGGAACTACCGAGGGGCAAACCAGCAGCAAAACCAACCAGCAGCAGCAAAAGCAAATGCAGTGGAAGCTGAAAACAGTGAAGTGGACGTTATTTTGGGAGGAGCTCACAAGGCAAACGTGGCTAGGGCATCGGGAGTGTGTTTGATGGCAAAGGGGTTTGGTGAAGCTGCGTGGTTCATGGATAGTGGCTGCACGCAGCATATGACCAATCACCGTGAATGGCTTACAAATCTGAGGGACTCCAACGTACCCTATGTGCTGTTGGGTGATGAAGGAAAACTGAGTGTGAAGGGAGAAGGAGAGTTGCTGCTCCAGGGAGAGTATGGGGAGCTGAAACTGGAAAAAGTGCTCTTAGTGGAGAAGCTCTCACTGAATCTGATCAGCCAGTCACAACTTGACAGCACGGGGTGCAAAACCTTCAGTGACAAGGGGAAGCTGTGGGTTTTTTATGAAAATTGGAAGGTGGTTGCAGAAGGGAACAGAAATCAGGGATTGTATGAAATGAAGCTGAGGAAGAAGGGGCTGGAAGCAGAGAATGCCACCTACATGACTCCACTCGAAGGGGACCTAGCCAGGGAGGAGTTGAAGGCTCGGCTTGGTGGCTTACCTGTGAAGGAGCTGCAGCAGGAAGCTTCAGCCATGGTGGTTGGGGTGGAGAAGGTTGAATTGGAGACCTTGCATAGGCGCATGGGGCATGCAAGCGTGGATAGGATCAAGGAGTTGGTTAAAAAGGGCATGGTAAAAGGAGTGACATTGAAGGAGGGGGCTGGAAGCAAGGGAAAATGCAGCAAGTGTGTTGAAGGTAAAATCACAAAATCCCCACACCCCCACCACCAGGTGCAGGAGCCTTATGGCACCTTGGACATCGTAGCAGCCGATGTGTGTGGGCCTATGAGGGTGGCATCACGACACGGCAGCCGCTACTTCGTTACCTTCACTGATTTGGGAACGAGGCACACATGGGTGACGGAGCTGAAAGATAAGGCAGAGGTGTTTCCTAGCTTCGTGACTTGGATGGCGGAAGCGGAGCGACAAAGTGGGAAGGTGCTGAAAGTTTTGAGGACAGATAATGGTGGGGAGTTTACCGGGGACCTGTTTAACAAGTTTTTACAGAGTAAGGGCATCCGACGGCAGCTGACTGTACCCTACACTCCACAGCATAATAGTATAGCGGAGCGGGTGAATCGTTCTCTGCTAGACAGTGTGAGGAGCATGCTGGCTGACAGTGGGCTGCCACTGAAATTCTGGGGTGATGCATTAGCAATGGGCTGCTGGTCCAAGAACCGGTTGCCTACCAAGGGACTTCGGGCAGATGTGACTCCTCACGAGGCATTCTATGGGAGGAAGCCGAATCTGGGGCTTGCACGGGTGTGGGGGAGTATGGTACAATACAGGGAGCCTGCTGGTCCGGATCATAAGTTGCTGCCAAGGACTCAATGGGGGATCAATCTTGGTACCTGCCCAGTGAGCAAGGGGTGGGTGATCAAGGATGTGGTTTCGGGGAAGGTCACAATCACCCGGGATGTTATTTTCTACGAGGAGGTGAGCTACCTGCAGTGGAAGGGGGTAGAGAAAGAGATTGCAGCAGCAGGGACAGCAACTACATCGGACAAGGTAGAGGATCTCTTGGAAGAAAAGGAGAGTGAGGGAGTTGGTGATGAAAAGGATGAGGAGATCGAAGATGTGGAACGGGCAGATTCAGTTGATTGGGTGTGGGAGAAGGCACCAGCCAGGGAAGCGGATGAAAACAAGGGAGTGGAGATAGCAGGGGAGCAGCCAAGCAAGGAAGTAGCTGAGGGTGTCAACGATGAAGTGGCTAGAGAAGAGAGAGATGAAGAATCAGCAGCTGAAGGAAGTAGCGATCCCTGGAAGTTCCTGAATAGTGGTGACAACCAGGCAGCAGAGAAGGAGATAGAGGACTTACTTGAGGAGGGCGCCATCGTGATTGGAAGGGAAGTAAAGGATGGAGAAGGGAAAGCATTGACGGATTCCAGTGAGGAAGAGGTCGAATCATCTGCAGAGGAGTTGGGGAAAGGAAAGAGGGTGAAGAAACCAAACCCTCGGTATGCGCAACTGCTGATGACGTGCTGGAAGGACATCCATACCCATCTCCTACTCTCTGCCACAGCAACTGACCTAGTCTCCAATGAAGGGAAAGTGAGTCACAACCTGCCCAAAGAACCAGTGAGCATCGAGGAGGCGCTCGAGGGTCCAGAAAGGGAGCAGTGGAAAGCGGCAATTGAGGAGGAGTTGAACACATTGGCTGAAAGGGGCACATGGGAACTCGTGCCTATGCCGGAAGGGAGGAAAGCCGTGGGGGTGAAGTGGATTTTTAAAATCAAGACCGGAGATATGGGGCAGCTGGAAAGGTTCAAAGCAAGGCTTGTAGCCAAGGGCTACACTCAGGTGGAGGGGAAAGATTACCAACAAAATGAGATCTACGCTCCAGTGAGCAAGTTGGCAACGGCGCGGGTCTTTCTCAAGGTGGTAGCAGCAAGAAAATACTTCATGGTGCAGCTGGATATTAAAAACGCGTTTTTGTATGGGGTGTTGAAGGAGGACATCTACCTCGAACAACCACCAGGGCATGATGACGGCTCAGGCAGGAAATGCAAGCTCAAGAAGGCTCTATACGGGCTGAAGCAAAGTCCTAGGGAGTGGTACATGGCGATGGATGAGCGGCTACTGCAAGGGGGATTTCACAAAAGTGAGTGTGATAGAGCATTCTACTGGAAGGGAGAAGGGAAAGAGAAGGTGTTTTTGGTGCTATACGTGGACGACATCTTGGTGGCAGGGGCGTTAGAGGAGGAGGTAGAGAAGGTGTGCACTCACCTTGCGGAAGTTTTTCAAGTCAAGCAGATTCCGAGGACCACACTCTTTCTCGGCATGAATCTGGAGCGGCGTAAGGAGGAGAAGAAGATGTTCCTATACCAGCAGAAATATTGCAGCAGGGTGCAGCAGAAGTTTGGCAACGGCTACACGAAGGCGATTTCTACACCATTGAGTGGGGTAGCTGAAAATGACAGTGAGCGGGAGGAAGATGTCAACCAATGGGGCAGCAAGGAGAGAGCTCGGCAAGTATATCAGTCCATGGTGGGGTCCATAATGTATCCGGTCTCATGCACGCGCGTTGACATGGCATACGCAGCTAGCTACCTTGGGCAACAAGTGCAGCAACAAGGGGAGAGAAAATGGAGAGAGATGAGGAGGACTATCGACTACCTACTGCAACATGAAGATGAGGGGCTGTTATTCGAAGGAGGTGAAGAGACCTTGGAGTTAGTGGGGTATGCGGATGCTTCACACGCATCCGACAGGCAAACAAGGAAGGGAGCATACGGTTACGTGTTTCTGCTCGGCGGGACAGCAATCATGTGGCAAGCGAAAAAGTTGAGTGACATAGCGCTCTCTAGTGCGGAAGCGGAGTACATGGCTCTGTTTTACGCATGCCAAGAGGGGGTTTGGCTGAGACGGCTACTCAAGGAGATGGAAATCAAGGTGAAAGGGCCGACGGTGATACGCACGGATAGCAAATCTGCCATCGACTTGGCTCACAACGACAATTGGCACGGGAGGACCAAGCATATGGATGTGAAGTATCATTGGGTGCGTTCAAAGGTGAGTAGCAAGGAGTTCAAGTTTGAATTCGTACGTACGGAGGCACAAGCAGCAGATTTTCTGACTAAGGTGTTACCAAGGGCAAATTTTGAGCGTTGCAAGAGAGAGGTTGGGATGCGTACCTTGGCTGAATTGCAGGGGAGTGTGGAGCAGGCCTAGAGATGGTTCAAGGTAAAACGTGCGTGGGAGAATGCATAGGCTGGTGGTTAGCAAACCACAGGGGAGATTGTTGAAGGTGGTTAGCTAACCACGACCTAGAACGACCTAACGCGATCTACATCGACCTAAGAAGAATCCGGCTTGACGAGATGAGACTAAGGGAAAGCGAAGACCTAAGAAGAAGATGAGCTACCTATGTTGGGGCGGTGGAAGGAGAAACAAGGCAGAGACTAGACCTGCGATGGGAAATGAAGAGAAGGAGAGGAAGCGTGCTGAAATGGAGAAGAACACAGCTGAAATGTCGAGATATCAAGTGACGTGATGAGAAGTCACGCCGGGTCAAAGGCGCGTCCAAGGAAGTCTGAAATTCGAACTCGAGGCGCGTTCGGTGCATGGTTGGATTTGGGAATTGAGCCGAGTACAACTCAGCTCGATATTAGGCGCGGCGCGAGGGCGAAATCAGAAATCCTTTTGCTTATAACTTGCTTTGTGTTTTCTGTTTTTGTATGCCTTCTTCAATGAAATTACTTGAACTTTCTGCCTTGGCGTTTTTTCCAGCAAATTCCTTCACATAGTTGAAGCCAGAGCTTCTTATGCATACTACTAAGACTCTAAATAGTCTTCATAGTCTAGACTAAAGGCTGCGCACGTACAAGACAACCCACCCACCAGCCTACCCACCAGCCTACCCACCAGCCTACCCACCAGCATACCCACCAGCCAGGAGCTGAAGAAGGGGAGATGAGCGAGGTTAAAGCCAAGGTGCGCCTGCAGAGGGCTTGACAGTGAGTCTGATGAATGGCGCCTCCGTGCACACCCACCAACCGAAGAGAAATGCCCTCACCTCACCTCACACAATGCACGTACCAGGCAGGAGCTGACCAAGGTTTTGAGACGCCTCAAAGCACGTACCAGGCAGGAGCTGACCAAGGTTTTGAGACGCCTCAAAGCACGTACCAGGCAGGAGCTGACCAAGGTTTTGATTGAGACGTCTCAAAGCGCGTACCAGGCAGGTGCTGGCCAAGGGGAGATGAGCGAGGTTGGATCCAAGGCGGGAGGCGGGCTTGACTTGACGGTGGCGAGCCTGCTTTTGAGTCAAGGCGGGAGGCGGGCTTGGCGACTCAAAAGTGGCCTTGACGGTGGCAAGGTGCCTTTTGCCCTACCCCACCCACCCACACACCCATGCACCCATCCAATCCACCCACCAGCCAGGAGCTGAAGAAGGGCAGGTCGGCGAGGTTAAAGCCAAGGTGGGCTGAGGGCTTGACGGTGAGGCCGATGAATGGCGCCCCCACGAAGCTCACTCGCACGCGACTCACGTACGGGAACTCCGAGGTGAACTGCATCCCAATCCTCGTCTGCAGGCTCGGGGATTATTGGCGGCGAGCGGGGGGTGTGGAGAAAGAAGGGAGGGGAGAGAAGGAGTGGGGGGTTGGGGTGCCGGATGGTATGAGAAGAGAAGTCAATGTTGTGTGTATATATGTGAGAGGTTGGGTATATATGTGAGAGGTTGGGTATATATGTGAGAGGTTGGGTATATATGTGAGAGGTTGGGTATATATGTGAGAGGTTGGGAGAGGTTAAGATGTTATGAGACCTTTCTCTGCTGCTGCTGCTGCACACACACCTAACCTCTCCCAACATCCCCACCTCCCCCACATTCCGCCCACATCCCACCTCCCCCACATTCCGCCCACATCCCACCTCCCCCACATTCCGCCCACATCCCACCTCCCCCACATTCCGCCCACATCCCACCTCCGCCACATTCGCCCACATCCCACCTCCCCCACATTCCGCCCACATCCCACCTCCCCCACATTCCGCCATGCCCAGTGGCACTCGCCGCACCACTTAACCGCCACATCCCACCTTCCCCACAGATCTCACAACCCCCCGCCCCCCATATCCCACCCACCTTGCCCTCTATGTGCACTCCCGACACATGCCCCTTTGCCACCATGCCCAGCTTCACTTATCGCACCTCCGACCTCCCACCTCCCCCATGCCCCACCTGGCACCTCCCTCACAACTCACCTTGCCCACGTCTCACCTTGCCCACGTCTCACCTTGCTTTTGAGAATTCTCAAAAGCGTCCCCCATGCCCCACCTGGCACCTCCCTCACAACTCACCTTGCCCACGTCTCACCTTGCCCCCATCTCACCTTGCCCTCCATGTGCACGCCCGACACATGCCCCTTTGCCTCCATGCTCAGCTTCACTCATCGCACCTCCCACCTCCCACCTCCCCCATGCCCCACCTGGCACCTCCCCCGCATCTCACCTTGCCCTCTATGTGCACGCCCGATACGTGCCCCTTTGCCACCATGCCCAGTGCCACTCGCCGCCTCATCTTCACCCCCACCAGCGCGTACATGTCGCTGCACGCTGCAAACTCCGTGGCTGCTTCTATCACCTGGCAGAGAGGGACGAGAGGGAAGGGAGGACGGAGGAGGGACGAGAGGTGAGAGAAGAGAGAGGGATGAAGAGGTGTGATTGGTTGATTCTCATCCACGCATTGTACCAACCACATCATGCCATAGCAAGCAATACCATACCACATCATGCCATACCAAGCAATACCATACCACATCATGCCATACCAAGCAATACCATACCACATCATGCCATAGCAAGCAATACCATACCACGTCATGCCATAACAATACCATGCCACATCATGCCATACCAAGCAATACCATACCACAAAATCACGGCACCACAGGCACACCCCATGACATCACCCTGCCGTCACACCGGACCACAACGCACTGCTTCACACTGCACCATACCATACCGCACCGCACCGCACCCACCACGTGGTCGTCGAGGGTGTTGGTGTGAACGACCCGGACAGCAGCAATGACGGGCAGCGAACTGCCCAGATACACCCGCTCTAACCACGCCTTGCGCTGCCCATGGGGGAAGGAGGGGGAGGGGGGGGGGGGGGAGGGGGAACAAAGGGGGTGTGGGAGGAGCATGTGGGTCCATGCTCATGCTCATGCTCATGCTCATGGTCACCGACTGTCAAGATGACTTAAGAGTCGACTCAAAGTTAAGGCAGGTATTTCACAGAGAACCAGGGAGCGAGGGCTAGGCCGAGCTGCGTGTGGAAGCAGGCCCTCGAGAAAGATGGACCAGGGGCGCTGCCACAAGCGCATTCAGCCAGTGCGCCCATTCCCACCCTCTAGCACCCCAGTGCACCCATTCCCTCCCTCTAGCACCCCAGTGCACCCATTCCCTTCCCTCCCACCCCAATGCACCCATTCCCACCACACCACACCATGGTCCCACCATTCTCACCCCCTATGCTCCAACTCACCGCCTGCCAGGGCAGGTATTTTTCAAAGAACCAAGGGGCGAGAGCAGGAGCAAGCTGGGTGGACAGCAGTCGTTCGAGGAACACGGGCCATGCGCGCTGCACGAGCGCGTTCAGCCAGTGCGCCGTTTCCGAGTCCCCCATGGGGTGCCGCTGTAGCACCGCCTGTAGCGCCGCCACCCGCGCCGCCATCAACTCGCGCACCCGCTGCCTCTTGGACACCTGTGGGTAGTGGGAAGGACGGAGGGGGGAGAGACGAAGGGGGCTGACTTTGTCGTTTGAAAGCTAGTTAACCAACGGAAAGAAGCCGACGGAAGAAGAGGACAGAAGCGACCGAATTCGCATGTGGTGGCAAGTGGCTTTGTATGATACCTCATGGTACACGAACAGGCACACTAGCAGCACGGGCAGGAGGCCGAACCGCACGCGGCCCGCCAACCAGGAGAGCGAGAGGAGCAATCCAATGAGGAAAAGCCCCGACAGTTGCGGCGAGAAATGCGGGATGTCGTCAAGCAAGCGGCTCGTGAGCGCCAGGATCCCGAGCCTGTCGTCCCCGCGAGCGCCGGAGCGGGCTGACGTGGCACCTCGGGAATACCGGGGCGAATCATCGCTTGGGGAGAGGACGGCTTCTGATTGGTCGGGGAAAAACGGGTGACTCATCAGCTGAAGCTGACGTCAGAAGAAGTCGAGGCTGACCTCAGCCAGATAGAGGAGGCGTGGCGAGGAGAAGAGAGTAACGAGTAAATGAGCCAGGGGTACGGTACGAGTAAATGAGCCAGGGGTACGGGGTAACAGGAGCATCAAGGACGGTACGGTGGCGAAGCGAGTGGAGTGGAGCGCTGCACGCTGGTGTGAATTTGAGGTGACGAATTGACGTGTTGCGGTGGGCCAACAATCTAAGGGCGCGTGCGTTCCGTTGCCAAGTTCGAAAAAAAGTTCGAACATTGTGTGGTTACTAATTTCGCAAATCTCGCTCATGACATCTGACGAAGCTCGTGAATTTTAGGGCTGATGAAAGTTCGAGCGTGGAAAGCGAACTTGACTCGAGTCGAATAGATGAACGTGCTTGTACACGTTGAAGCGAGCGTGTGTGTTTTCGGTACACACGAAGACCACGCGAAATAAATGAGTGCATTGCGAAACATAAAATAGCAGTGTGTTGACTTGGCGAGCACGTACCGGGTAACATAAAGGCTCGTATTTGGTGTTCGACCTTGCGTGTGTGATTACATCTTTGCAGTGTATTCCCGCAGTGTTCGAACTGCTCTACAAGGAAAGTCGAATTCCATTCGACTTAAGTTCAAAAAAATATTCGCCCCCAAAACATAAACTTTGTCAAATTTGACGGAACGCACGCGCCCTAAGGGGGCGAAAAACAGATTGCCATAAGGTGGCTCGAGACAGGCCAAAGTGAGAACGCAATGTATTCCACGATATAAGTGGGAGGGTGTAGGTAAAGCCACTTTTCTATGCTTGCAAGGAGTTGTTCATGGGTTGTGAAGACCACCTCTATTCAAGTAGGAACAGCCACGTTTTGCAGAAGGTAGTGACTGTCACCCAAGTCCTCATTCCTCCTGTTGCGTACACTCACTACATAACACATTATTTTTTCTCAATCATCATGTCTCGATCTCCCTAATCCCTGCATACGTCAGGTACTTTGATCCAACAATCCCAATTCCCATTTTTTTGCATGTGACCCGCGGTGGAAAACACGCCATGAAAACCTCCCAAGGCACCTCAAAATCCATATCTACAATGCTTGTTCCACTACAGTGTTACTCCACTCAATTTCCTTGTCCGACTTCTTCCCAAATCCCTGGGCATCGTCCTGGGTGGAAGGGCCTTCGAATTTTTGCCTTATACCCACTCAAGAATCGCTCTCCTCTGCAATCTCCTTGTCCGACTTTTTCCCAAACCCCTTGGGCGTGGCCCGGGGAGGTGATTTCATGGCAGCGCGGATCTCCGATGTGGCGGTTGGCCGCTTCACTGGCTCTGCTGCTGCCAGCTTCTCCATCTCGCGCTTGTCCTGCCAGTCCGTGTATGCCAGGTACGCCACCTAGAGTGGGGGAGAATGCAAGAAAGAAACGGGTGGAAGCAGGGATGAGAGGAGAGGGGAGTCAGGCAAGAAGGATTCACCGGTTCTGCTGCGGCCAGCTTCTCCATTTCCCGAATGTCCTGCCAGTCCGTGTACGCCAGATACCTCCCCACCTGGAGTGGAGGGAAAGAGGGGGGAGGAAGAGGGCGGGGGGGCGAGGGGGGAGTAAGAGGGCAGCGATGAGAGGAGAGGAGAGTCAAACAGAGGGGGTTTACAGGCTTCGCTGCCGTGATTCTCAGGTACTCCAGCTTTCTCACCGTGTGCTGGAGGGGAAGTGGGGGGAAGACGGGGCAGAGACACAGAGGGGGTTTGAAGAGGGGAGTCACAGGCAGTCCGTGCGCGCCAGGTACCCCACCTGGCGCACTGGGGGCCTTTGATTAATAAGGTGCATGGCCCCCACCCACCCCACTGCGCCGTGCACCTATTTCTGATTTGACTCAAAAAACACGCCAGGTACCCCACCTGGCGCACCGGAGGCCTTTGATTAATAAGGTGCATGGGCCCCACTCACCCCAGTGCGCCATGCACCTATTTCTGATTTGACTCAAAAAACACGCCAGGTACCCCACCTGGCGCACTGGGGGCCTTTGATTAATAAGGTGCATGGCCCCCACCCACCCCAGTGCGCCGTGCACCTCTGAGATCGAGTTTTGAGGCATAGTGAATTGGAGCCTGAAGACGTCTCAAAAGCCACCTGCTCGTGGGGAAAAGACTAAGGGTTGACGGGAGTTTGGGAAGGCGGGTTGAAGGCCGGGTGCGTGGGCTAGACGATTGGGGACGGGAACGGAGCAGGCAGGGATGGGGGACAGGAAAGGAGTTACGAGGGAAGGAGATATCGTAAAGCGGTCGTATGGATTCTCTCCAACTTCCCCTCGTCCTGTCACCAAGAGTAGTGCTACATCACCCCGTGCTCCTGGTGCTTGCATTGCTGGGCACCGTGGCACGGACAGCAAGGGCGTATCGTTTCAGAAATATTTATGGGCCGGACGGCCATGACTGGGACAGGAGGTGTGCTTTCAGATTCTTGAGCCGACCCAGAAATCAACAGCAGGGGCGTTATTCTTGAACAGATTCAAGGACCAAATGGCCGTGACTGGGGCAGGAGGTGTGCTTTCAGTGACCTGCGTCCAGTTTCCTTCTTGCCTTTAGGTCCCTTTTACGCGATTCTTCAAGGTGACGCGGTTCCAAGCGGTTCTTTCATTCCGGTTTTCGTGTCTGACCACTGATTGGACTTACATAATCGGTACCATTCTCCCCTATTTACGAAAAGGCACTCACCCCGCCAGTCAGCACGACCAATCCGACGACAGCGATGCCGAAGAGCAGCGAAATGATGCCGTTGGTAACGGGCTCGCCGCTGCCCGCAGCCGTCAGCACGTCGGCGCCGTTCTCGAAGAGCGGAACGGGCTCCGCGAGGACCCGATCGGCGACGATAAGCGGTAACAGCGGGAGAAGCGAGAAGAGCGATAGCGAGAGAGAAGGAGAAGATACGGGAGGTTGAACCGTGACGGGAGGAGGTGAGAACGGCGCCGGCGCGGCCGATTCGCTAATGTCACATTCTGAATTACGAGAGAGTTGACTGGAAGCCCGCGTGCATTCTACTGCGCGGGTGATGCTTCTTCTGGCATTTAAATTTCGCGAAAAGGAACTGTGAAGGCTCGCGTGAAAGGCGGGCGTGGGACGTAGTTGGCTGGCCATGGCTCGGTGTTGATGGAGGGAGACACGGACAAGATTGCCCGCCGCGAAGAGCGGGGTAGCTGTGAGAACGCCCGGCATGGCGAGAACGGATCGCCGCACGACGCGGACTGACGAAGAAAGGGGTTCGACGAGCCGACGCGCTGACCTTTCACGTGAAAGAGGTACGATACGTGAATCTCTTTCACCTGTCTGTCACCTATGTTCACAACAATCTGCGGCAAGCAGTGTGCCAAAATAGCGAAGGGAATCGAATTGAAGCAAGGGGAGGGAAGTGTAGCATTCAGCCGACGCTCTAGGGTAGAGCAAATTTGGTTCCTGCCACGTGTAGCTTTCGAGATTGTCAGGGGCTTCGGAAGTTTCGGGATGCAATCAGACTGTGCCACGTTGGCCTGGTTAGCTGACCAGCATGTTAGTTTTTACAGCTTCTGCTTGACTATTGATAAGTCTCAGTATGCACATGAGTGAGATTCCCACATAAAAATATCACTCCCATTTTCCAGAATCGGACAGCAAGAAACAACCTTGCATTTCTAAGCTAGTAGTAGCATTAAAACGCAAGGCTGTTCCCCCTGTCACCTGCCACACCCCATCCCACCCAATTCACAATCAAAATCCCCACACCTACAGAAAACCCTTCCCCTAATTCTCATCCCATCCCCAGTCTTCCCTCTGCATCCCCTCTAGTATCGGCTCCAGTAAGACGTCGCAGCCGGAGGGCTCCGGGCCGCAAACGACCCAAGAGCAGCACCATTGGGATACGCATCAGTGGAAGCAACCGCATAGTAAGAAGAAGGATTCGCCAGAAGCAGATCCATCACATCCTTATAAGTCGGACCGGCTGCCGTGGTAATAGTGCTTGCGTTGTACCACATCCCAGCAAACCCATAGACAAATCCCGAGGGAACGGGCGGGCGGAAGAAGCCGAAGAATTTGGGGAAGGGCGGCTGGCGGCGGGCACCGCGCTTCAGGGTACCATTGGCGGTGAGTGCAGAGCAGTTTCCGGACCATGTAAGATTGGTCCACGTGGCACTGGCGCCGAAATCCAGGACGACTGCTGACGTGGCGTTGTCATTGATGGTGATGGATGTGGGCAGGCCCGCATCGGTGAGCTTGACTGCGGCGCCGTAACGAATGTTGTAGTCTCCGCTGTAACTGCGGGTGGGAAGGCGAGTGGTTGTAACGAAGGTGAGAGAACAAGGTGTAAGACTCAGCGGCATAACAAACAAGCGGCAGGAACAGGATACATGGCAATATGCTGTAGACAACCCACAAACAGCAGCGAGACATGTTCAAAGTGGCACGACAAAGTCATCTCATAATCGACTCAGAAATGCAAGCTCGCAATGAGTGTCTTACTTGTAGACAGCAAGCAGCACGACGCCCGTAGCGTTGACGTCGCCCGTGACTGTGCCTGATGCGTCTGCCACGTTGTTTCCCAGCATGCGTGCCGCCAGTGCTCCTGAGAGGTGGCAAGGGAAGAGATTACAGGTGTGTGGGTGATTGGTGAGTGAGAGAGGGGGGAGGGGGGGAGGGAGTGGGAGAGAGAGAGAGAGAGAGAGAGAGAGAGAGAGAGAGAGAGAGAGAGAGAGAGGGAGAGGAAGAGAGAGAGAGAAAAAAAACTAACAGCAACGGAGGAGAAACTCACCGATGCGAGTGCCTGGGTGGCCGCCGAACTGCCCCCATCCGCCCTGGCCCCACCTGAAGCCGCCGCCACCGCCGCCCCGGCCAAAGCCGGGCGGCATCCTGTGGGCCGCACCTGCAGCGCGCGAGACAGACAAGAGAGGCAAGACAACCAGTAGCCGTTAGGGCGAGTGGAACCCGGGTGGTCCTCAATTCGACTCAAAAATCTCGTGCGAGAGAAAGAAAGAGAGAGAAAAATCCCTCTCACGAGATCTGTGAAATGATGCCTTGTGCAAGTGCAGCCTGCATACCCTGAGGGTACGACGTGCACAGCCTTTCCTGGGGCACGAGTTGTACGACTCACATGAGAGAGCGAGGGAAACGAGGAAGAGAGCGAAAAGAGTCGCCTTCATAGCCATGGCCGCTGGGCTGTACCGACTGATAATACCAGCTTATGTATTTTGCGATGCTTCAGGTTCTTCAAACCGGCTCGTTTCGGAAATCTAAGGCGATGCTAGGGTTTGAAACACCAAATGGAAATCGACGGGCTGAGGAGATGGAATCCGAGCGGAGCGAACAAGCTGCGTTGCTCTGTGTTGGAGGCAGATCAGGAGTCGAGCCATCTTATACCGAACCTCAAGAAACCAAAGCAGCGTGAGTTTGTGGGTGATGGATGCGCGACGCGGAAAGGAGGGAGGAATGTTCAAAAGCCAGCTGGCGTATCATATCATATGGCTCAGAGAGGAGACCATTCAACTTAGTGATTTAGGAGGCAGATTTGTCGGCTATTTCTGGAGGCCACTCTTGTCCTTTTGCGAGGATGGCGGTGGGTAGGGTAACCCTCCGCTCTCAACAACCTACGGTGCGACAGTGTATCCGATGCTTCGCAGCTTTCGTGATATTTCGTCTTACTAAAGCAAAAGACTTCGCCGTGTCGGTCAGCGAAGGGGCTCCTTCGTTTGGCGAGGTGTTTCTTGGGGAAGACTCGGGAGGATCCGCAGCAGCTTCCACCTGTGGTTGATCCGTCCGTCCGTCCCTTCGCTGCATCTCCACCACCACTCAATCCCTGCTACCGAACAAATTCTTCCATTTTTTAACGCCCGGCTGGTGGTCACAATCGAATCACGAATATGCGTTGCGATCCGTTAGTGGCTGACACATTTGTAGCGGTGAATACGATTCATATTTTGTCCGCGTATGAGTTGAGGGTGCCATAAGACGTAGGTACCACAGAATGGAAAATAATGACTGCCACAGTATATGAATTGCCAATCCGTCCAATCCAGCCAACCCAATTGGAAAATGGGATGTGACCAATACGGTACCAGATAATATTCTTTCCTGTCAACGATTTCAATTACCAAACCCGCCCTGAGCAGCAATAGAGCAGCCAAGCCAAGCAAAGACATGAGTGCATCAGCTGAAGTGCCCACCAACGAAACCAAGCAGCTGGTCAGCTCACATGCCAGAACTGCACCGGGGCAATAACACCCCGCAGCTCACGCGACATGCCAAGTCGTTTAGAGGAAGCATCCCGCGGATCAGAAGCGGAATTAAGCTGATGCTCAGCGCACGTGACGTGCCTGCCAGGTTTTGGTGTCAGACGAAGCACCTGGCAGCAGCTCTGCTGACATGGCACTGCATGGAAACCAGAGGTGGGGCAGGCAGACCAGAGAAGACTTGACGCCTGGCAGGAAGTGGCACAGCAATAAAAGGGAAATCAGCCCACAGTCAGTTCTGATGTAAGCCGGACGAAACAAGAGGCAACGGGACAGCCATGACAACACTGGCTAACAGATGAAGGGGTACTGCATACAAACTCACTCACTCACCCTACTACGGGCCAAATACACTCGCTTCCTCACCCTACTTTGCAGGTCAAACACACTCACTCACTCACCACACTACTGCGGACCGAACACTGACTCACCCGATTGCAGGACAAACACACTCTCTCACTCACCCTACTGGTGGCCGAACTCACTCAGTCACTCACTCACTCCCTCACTCACTCGATTTCTCACCCTACTGCGGGCCGAACACGCGGATGCGCTGCGAGATGGGCGAGCGGCACGTGGGGCAGTCAGGCATGCGGCGGGCGAGGAGAGCATCGTTGCAGGCGAGACACACTATCTGATGGGCACGCGGCAGGAACACCACCTGCACCTCCTCACTCATGCACAATTGAGGTGCCTCAAAACCACCTGCACCTGCTCGTTCGTGCACATCACACACACATCACCCTACTGAGCGTCGAACACACACACACACACGCTCACCCACTCACCCTATTGTGGGCCGAAGACGCGGATGCGCTGGGCCACAGGCGCACGGCAGGTCGGACAGTCGGGCATGCGGCGGGCGAGGAGGGCATCGTTGCAGGCGAGACACACGATCTGATGGGCGCACGGCAGGAACACCACCTGCACCTCCTCACTCATGCACATCACACACTCCCTCTCCCTCCTCCTCCCCCTCCTCCTCCTCCTCCTCCTCCTCCTCCCATCCCCATTCCGAACACCGGCCCCACCCCCAGCCCGGCTCCCAGAGCCGGTCCTGCTCCTGCCCCGCCTAGAACGATCCCGCCGAGCCCAATGTGGGGCAGCAGGGCGCCATGACCTCCTGTGGTCCCTGCAGCAGTAGAAGAAGCAGGGGTGCCTGTAAGACCGCCGCTGAGAATGCCTCCCCCTCCTCCCCCTCCTGCGACTCCCCCTCCCCCTCCGGCTCCGCCTCCCCCTCCCCCTGCCCCGCCTCCTCCGTTCCCCCTAGCCCCCCCAATGACCCCATGGTTGCGCCCCCCTCCATGCCCTGCTCCCACCCCCTGCCTCCCCCCCTTGCCTGCAACCCCTGCCCCTCCTGCCCCTCCCGCCCCTCCCAAGCCTCCTCCCCCGAAGTGGATCCCATTCAGCGGCGCCACTCCTGCAGCTCCTGCCGATCCTGCCGCTCCTGACATCCCACCCATCCCTGCCACAGTACCAAGCTGCCCCATCACCCTCTGCCCAACACCCAAACCAACACCCCCACCAGCAGCAGCAGCAGCGGCAGCAGCAGTGGCAGCAGCAGCAGAGGAAGAGCCAGGAGCAGGAGAAGGAGTAAGAGCAGCAGCAGGAGTCCCCATAGGGAAGTCAAAGAGGACTCCCCGTGCATTCGCCTCTCTCAGCGCCTGCGCACTCGCTGCCGCCACCACACTCGCAGCCACACTGCTACTGCTGCTGCTACCACTACCCCCACCTCCACCCCCATTCCCACTCCCACTCCCCCCACCACCACCAGCTCCAAGCCCACTCCCTAACAGCCCCGCGCCTCCGCCCCTCGACCCACCTGCACCTGCACCCGCACACCCCACTCCCGCCCCTCCTGCAACCCCGCCCCCGCCACCACCCCCACCGCTCCCTCCCCACAGGCTCGCCCCAGCCATGATTCTCAGCTGCACCACCTCCCGCTCCAGCCGTGCCACCTCGCCGCGAACCCGTTTCACGTCCGCCTCGCTCTTGGCTCGGAGTGTCTCCTCGCGCTGCTTCCACGCGGTCTCCGCCTGCTCGCGCGCGCGGCACTCGGCGTCGGCGCGTGCGGTTGCTTCTTCACGCGCTTTCTCCTCCTGCCGCCACCGCTGCTCCGCCTGCTGCTGCCGCCGCCGCGTTGCTTCCAGGTCCGAGAGGGCGGTTGTCAGCTTGCGCCTTTCGTCTGCTAGTTCCTCCTGTGAGGGAGAGGGCAAGGGCCGCATGTGGAATCAACTTGTGATGTTACAGTACAGCAGCTAGCACCTCTCGTCCACTAGATCCTCCTGTAAGGGAAGGGGGCACATTGAATTGACTCTCTCTTTCAATCGCCTGTTGAGGCGCCTCAGAACTCATGAGGCGCCTCAAAACTCGAAGGGGGGGCGCATTGTCTCTCTCTTTCAATCGCCTGCACTCAACTGAGACACGTCCCTTCCTCTTCCCTCGATAACATACATGCACAGACTTCCACCGCATGTCTCTCCCACACCCACCTGCAGCTTCGCCTTGACCCGCTCAACTGCCTGCACCCTCTTGAGCGCCTTGCCCTCCCTCTTCCCTAGGCGGCACGGCACGCCAAGCTCAAATAGACCACCCACCTGCAGCTTCGCCTTGACCCGCTCGATCGCCTGCACCCTCTTGAGCGCCTTGCCCTCCCGCTTGCCTGCCTCCGCCAGCTTGGCACTCGCCTCGCTCACCCTCAACCCCGCCGCCTGCAGCTCTGCTCTCAGCTGAGGAATACAGGAAAAAGGGACCAGGAAGACACAAGGGGGGAGGGGGGTCGATGAGAGGTGAGCAAACAGCTTGGATGGCAGGCAGCAGCTCGACACTCGCCTCGCTCACCCTCAACCCCGCCGCCTGTAGCTCCGCTCGCTCTCAGCTGAGGTGGAGGGGGGAAAAGCATCAGTGAGGCACGGAGGGGAGGTGGGTTGGACGAGAGGAGAGCACACAGCAGACCAGCTTAGACGGCAGCAGCTTGGCACTACTCGCCTCGCTTACCCTCAACCCTCCTGCCTGCAGCTCCGCTCTCGGCTGAGAAGGACGGTACGGAGTACCGGGAAAAGGGGAAGGACAAGAGTGAGGGAAAGCCATATTCAGCCAGAGTCCATGCACCTAACGTGTTTTGAAAAAAGAAAACTCCACTCCACACCACAACACCATCATCACCCGATCAGTAATCCGCCACAGAAGCAACCCCACTTCTCCACTCCACCCCTATGTTGCACTATACGCGATTCACGTATCAGTCGCGTTCGACTTATACGCTTACGTGCGTACGTGATACGGGAGATTTCCGCCCCGGGATACGCTTCAAATACGTTCGCCCGGGCAGACGAAAAAAAGTTACGGGCAGGGGAAAAATAGTGTCAGGGGGGTGAGTCGTGTTGCCTATGTTCTTTGTGATTGTGCCATGGTGGTCTTGTCCCTACTTGTGAAAATAGTTTTCCCCATTACAGACATGCATTGCAAGTACACACACATAATAGCAACTACTTGCATATACCTCCCCGAACTCCTCTACTCCCCAAACCTTCAGCTGCTAATACTCGACCTCTACTCCTCATGCTCGTCGCCTCGTCAGCCACTTACCCTGCTGCTGCCTTTCTTACTCCACGTACTCATCGGCCAGCACGGCCTCATCCTCCTCCTCCTCCTCCTCCTCCCCTTCCTCCTCCTCCTTGTATCCCTCCGGCAGAGGGGGAGCAGGGATGTTGCCCGGAAGCACCGCCAGTGACTCACCCAGCTTGTGGTACTTGTGGACCACCGGCCAGTTGTGGGCCACATAAACTAGGTCCCGGAGTTTCTCCGAGCCTAGCTTGTTGCGGCGGGCAGTATGCACCGACTCCCACGATGCCCACCCGCGCTCACACGGCGACGCCGACACCGGCTGTGTCAGGGCACGGCACGCAAGGCTGGCCAGGTGGGGGTGGTCAGTCCCGTGCCATCCCCACCACGCCACCATCGACAGCTTGCCTGCCTTCACGGCCTCTCTGTCGGCAATTGCCTCTGGAAGGCCGAAGGAACCTTCAAGAGTGAGGAAGGCCGTGAGCCCCTCCTGCAAAACAAGAGAGGCACGCCTCTCCTCACCGTCCTTGTTGGTGAAGGTCTTGCCGCCACAGTGGCGCGCGATGAAGGCCTTGAAGATGCGGGTACATTCCACATCGTTGCGGAATATACCCTCTTCCTGATTTGCGGGGTTCAGGATCCGGCCAACGACGTGAAGCGCGCAAGCGAGGCTCTCATCCCAACGGCTCTTAACAATCTTCGCTATCTTATCCGCATCCGCCCGCGTCAGAATCTTGTCCCCCGCATCCACCTTGGCGTTCATGTCCTCGGTCAGCTGGAGCATGAGGTCATAGATGGTCCCCATCATGCCCTTAGCGCTGCTATCCGTGGCCCGCATCACCTTGAACGGAAGCGCCAAGAGCTCCACGAGGTAAGTTGCTTTCTTCCACCACTCGTCGTCCATGACTTGGCTGCGGAAATTATCTGCCGTCTGCTTCCTTGCCCCGCTCCCCCAGTTGCCGTACTCCTCGCTCAGCACCATGGTCGACAACGAAGACCGCAGCTCGCACAGCCTTGAGAGGGCGATGAAGTTGGTGCCGAACCTGGTCCCCGCCGGCTTCACAAGCTGCTTCCCCTTTCCTCCCTTTACCGCCCCACTCCTCAGGTAATTGCGGGTGAAATGGTGGTTACGAACGTAACTCACCATGTCCCCGCACCGATCCACAATCTCCTTCGCCCACGTGATCTTCCCAACGTCCTCCATGAGGAGGTCGAGCACGTGCGTAGCGCACGGCACGTACTCGATGTGCGGCCATTCCGCCATAAGCTCCTTGCAGGCGGCCCCGTAGTTGGAGCCCCCGTCCATGCAAAGAGCGACCACGTTTTCGGGCCCCACTTTCTCGATGATGGGGCGGAGAATGGAAGCGATGTAGCCGCCGGTTTTTGACTCCATGTTGCAGTCAATAGTCTCGACGAACACTGCTCCGGAGTCGTTGATGAGCATGACGTTCGCCTGCGGCCTCCCGCACCGATCGGTCATCAGGTCCGAGGAGACGGTGACGCCATCCCTCTTCCAGCTCGCGGCGATTGGCTGAAGCCCCCTCTCGATGCCCGTGCGACAAAGCTTGAGGCCAGCCCCTCCCATGTAGTTATGGCGCGGCGCGACATAACCGGGGCATGCGTTGTTAATGGCCCGCACCATGTTGCGCCACAATGGGTTGTCGGCGTGGTGTGCGGGAATGCGGCAGCCGGCGAAGAACAAGCAGACGGAGTTGTTCGCCTCTGCGTTCTTGCATTTCTGCTCGTCGCCAATGAAGTCGGTGATGCGGCCTTTCTTAGAACCTCCCACGACAGCTTGGAGCGCAGCCTCCTCGGCCCTCCTCTTTTCGTCGCGGCCGGATGATTTTTTCTCGTAATGCGCGCGCACCGCCGCTCGCACGTCAGACGGAGCCTTCGCGCACAGGCGGACGTCGCACGTTTTCTGTCCGTTCCATTTCGCGAGATGCTGAGCGCATCGAAACGCACCACCCTTGAACTCGATGGAGCAATACTTGCAAACGCGGACAGTGCCGACGGTGTTGGGGCGGATCGGAACCATGAAATGCTTGAAAACGATGTGCTTACTATCCTCTTCCTGCCATTGTGCCTCAGAGGTCGAGGCTGACGGATCAGTAGTCTGAGCGCTGGGAGATGGGTCTGGAGTAGCCATAAACAGAGAACAAACGAGAGGGAGGCTAGACAGAAAAGAAAGAAGTGGATGAGAGTTGTGTTGAGGTGGGGTGAAATATACTTACCACGTATTGGTTGTGGGGAGGGGGACGTGCTGTGGTAGGTCACAACTTGTTGGGGGTGAGTGGGCAATGTTGATGTACGTGGGGTGAACGTGGCGACTCGGGGTTGCACGTCCCTTGGTTGAAAAAAACGCGATTCGAAATGTCGGTATACGTGCGTACGCAAAGTGCGCGAATATTTTTTTTTGCTCCAATTTTTTTCCCCTGCCCGGCTTTCCGTATCGCGTATTTGTCCCCGTTTCACGTATTTGCGTTTATACGTGAACGCATAAACGTGAAACGTAAAACACCCTGAGCGTATAGTGCAACATAGCTCCACCCCCGACTCACCTCAGCATTCTCTGCTTCCAGGCGGCATACAGCAGCGTCAGCGCGGTCCACCTGCCCCGACGCCTTCCGCAGTGCTGCCTCCATCTCGCCCAGCTGCCTTCACACACCTCACAATGAGAGACCCTAAACCCTAAACCATAACCTTACCTCCGCGTTCTCTGCTTCAAGCCGGCATGCGGCAGTGTTGGTGCGGTCAACCTGCCCCAACGCCTTCCGCAGTGCCGCCTCCATCTCGCCCAGCTGCCTTCACACACCTCCCCCACACACACACACACACGCCTTTCTCCCTCCTCAACCAACTCACCTCTGCATTCTCTGCCTCCAGGCGGCATACGGCAGCGTTGGCGCGGTCAACCTGCCCCGACGCCTTCCTAAGAGCCGCCTCCATCTCGCCCAGCTGCCTTGCTGCGCTCTCCTCCTTCCCGTCCTGCTCGCGCCGGCTGCGCACCCACTCCTCGCGCTCCGCCCTCAGCTGCCGCAGCTCCTTGCTCTCCCGAACCAGCTTCTGCGCCACCTGCATCACCTGTAAGGGGGAGAGGGGAGAGGGGATGGGAAGAGGGAAAGAGAGCTCTCAGCTGCGCACCCACTCCTGGCGCTCCGCCCTCAGCTGCGGCAGCTCCTTGCTCTCCCTCACCAACTTTTGTGCCACTTGCATCATCTGCAGGGAAGGGAAGAGAAGGGCGACGTGGGATCAGCGGAGGAAGTATAAGGGGGGGGGGACAGAGGGGAAAAGGGTGAATGGAGGGGAAAAAAAAAAGGAGAAGAGCATCAAAGGGAGAGTGAAGGAGGCGAGGAAAGAGAGCTCCTGTCCTTCCTGTCATCGTTGCGCCTGCTGCGCATCCACTCCTCCCGCTCCCACTTTTTGAAACCTTGATTTCCATCCAACCAGGACAAAATTCTCGAGAAACAACAGCACCACTGTGACTCCACGTTTCAACAATAGCCCCCGCCTCCCCCAACCCCGCTTCTTCCCCACCCCTCCCCCACTCACCCGTTGCTGCGCCCAGTGCTTGCTGTCCTCCTCTGCCGCCTCCAGCTCTCTCACCCTCGCCTCACCCTCTCCACCGCCCCCCCCTTCCCTCTTCCACCTTCCCCTTCCCCCTTCCACATTTACCCCCCTTTACTCACCCGTTGCTGCGCCCAGTGCTTGCTGTCCTCCACTGCCGCCTCCAGCTCTCTCACCCTCGCCTCCAGCCATGCCGTGTGCTGCTCCTTCCGCTCGTCCACCTGGCAAGGTGGGATGGGCGGGCGGATGCAAGGGGAGGAGAATGGGGAGGATGGTAGAGTGAGTGGGTTGAGGGTCGACTCAGAGCCTCCAGCTCTCTCACCCTCGCCTCCAGCCATGCCGTGTGCTGCTCGTGCCTCTCACCACCTGGGATGCAGGGAGGGGAGGGAGGAGGTGAGAGGGGAGGAGAGGGAGTAGCTTTTGAGTCGTCTCAGAACCTCCAGCCATGCCGCGTGCTGCTCGCGCCTCTCATCCACCTGAGATGTAGGGAGGGGAGGGAAGAGGGAGAGGGAAGGGGGGTTTATGAGAGTGCAGCAACAGAGTCAGCTCAAAACTTCGGGCCATGACGTTTGCTGCTCGTGCCTCTCTTCCCCACCTGAGTACACCACTCTGCACCCACCTGTCCTTCGAGCTCCTCAACGCATCTCTCAAGGTGAACGCACTGCTTCAGCACAGCCCCATACCGCCCTTACCACCCCTACCTTACCTGCCCGCCCTTACCATTCCTTCCCCACCCACCTGTCCTTCGAGTTCCTCAACGCGTCGTTCAAGGTGAACGCACTGCTTCAGCACGGCGCCATGGGTGGCATGCAGCTGCTCCAGCCGCTCCATCACCCCCTCCACACTCTCCACTCCCTTCCCCCCTGCTGCCGCTGCCACCGCCGCTGCTGCCGCCGCTGCTGTTCCTGCCACTGTTGCTGCTGCTGAAACTGCTGATAACCCAGCCGTTATGATGCTGGTTGTACCGGTCGTTTTGACGCTTGACGCGCTGCTTGTTCCACCACTGCTCGTTCCACCATTGCTTGTCATACCACAACTGCTTGTCACACCGCCGCCGCTGCTTGTGACACCAGTGGTGACACCAGTGGTGACACCAGCGGTGACACCAGTGGTGACTCCAGCAGCAGACCCAGGAGCCCCCGCCACACTTGCTCTCTCTGTCGCTCTGCCTGCCTGCGCACCACCCATCAAACCACCTGACGGGCCCTGCTGTGACTGAAGCGGGTCAAACGGCACCATCGCGCCAGGAGAATTCAACAGAGCAGGTGGATTCAACAGAGCACGCTGGTTCACTGCACTGACAGCCGCTCCTGATACAGCAGCACCCCCTGTAGCAGAACCAGCTACAGTACCCGCACCACCTGCAACAGCAGCAACTGCACTACCAGTTACAGCAGTAACTGCACTACCTGCTACAGCAGCACCAGGCATGGTACAGTTAGGAGGATTACTGACTGCTACAGCACAGTTGGGCAGGGCAGCAGCAGCAGTACAGTTGCCACTGGTGGTTACACTGCCATCAGCATAGCCCATGCTGCCACCCTTCCCCGCATGCACCAAACTACGATTCTCCTCGCCCTCTCCTCCTCCTGCCGCCCCTCCTGCTGCCTCTCCTGCCGCCCCTCCTGCTGCCTCTCCTGTCGTCCCTCCTGCCCCTCCCACTCCTGTCCCCCCTGCTCTCCCTGCTGCTACCGCCCCTCCTGCCCCCACTCCGCCCCCTGTTCCCCCCATCTCTTCCCCATTCCCCGCTTCCCCTCGCCTCCTCTGTGCCACCACCAACCGCCTTCTCCTCCCCCTCACGCCCCCCACCTCACCCCCCCTACCCCAGCCCCTCCACCCCCCGTTCCTCCCCCCACACCTGCCGAACCTGGCTGCACAAGCAGGTCCGGGAACACGGTGTGTGGAGCTGAAGTCCCCGAGCCTGGCCAGGTGGCTTGGGAGGTAACCGAGGTTTGGGCCAAGGCAGGAGGGGGAGGTTGCGGGTGGGTGTAAGGTGGGGGGTGGGCGTGGGGATAAGCAGGGGAGGAGAAGGAGAAGGGTGCGGATGCTGACATGGGAGCTGCAGCAGCAACGCTGGTAACGCTCCCTGCCTTTGCAGCATTCGCACCGCTCACACCATTCGCACCATTAGCACCCTTTGCCACTCCAGCACCATCCGCTAGAGCAGCCCCAGAAGCAGCGGCAGCAGCAGCAGAAGCAGCGGCGAGTCCAGCAGTTGCAGCTGCCACCGCTGCTCCTGCTGCACCGGGCAGGGAGGGGAGACCACCAGCAGCAGCAGAAGCAGCAGCAGCAGCAGCAGTGGCAGAGGCAGGGGCGTTGCTGCAAGCAGCGAAGCTTCCCAGCACCTTCTGCTTTGACTTGCCGGAGGGATTGAGGGCGGGTGGGGAGGGGACGGGAGGGGAAGGGGAGGGAGACGCCAGAGGCAGGGGAGCAGCAGGCGAGGTAGCAATACTGCTGTTGGTGGTGTTGCTGCTGGTAGTGGTGGTGGTGCTGCTGGTGGCAGTGACGTTGGTGGCAGCAGCAGCAGCAGTAGAATCAACGGAGGCGGTAGTGGCAGCAACAGCAGGGGTGGGGGCGGTGCTGGTGGGGGCGGTGCTGGTGGGAGTGGTGCTGGTGGGGGCGGTGCTGGTGGGGCCAATGCTGGTGGGGGCGGTGGCGGTGGCGGCGTTGGTGGTGGGAGGAAAGTTTGTGGGGGCGGAGGTGGAGGAGGAGTAGAGGCGGACAGCAGGGGAGGGCAGGAAGCCAGGAAGAGAGAGGGGGAACATGGAGGCCAGAGATGCAGAGGCGGGAGCAGCAGGAGCGGCGGAGGAAGAAGGAGAAGGTGCAGTGGTGGGAAGGTTGGACTGGACAGGTGGGACTGTTGTAGCCACCTGCTGCTGCTGCTGCTGCTGCTGCTGCTTTTGTCCCTCGTTTGAGTCACATCCAAACTCGTCCCTAAGCACATCCCTACTCGTGCTGATATTGCTGCTGCTACTGGTGGTGCTGCTGTTGCTGCTGCTACTGTTGTTGTTGCTACTGCTGCTATTAGTGGTGGTGCTGTTACTGTTGCTGTTGTTGTTGATGCTGCTACTCATGCTGCTGCCGGTGCTGCCATCCCCTCGGAGGCAAGACTGACCTTCATATCCCGCCTTCTCCTCTCCACTTCTCCCCTCTTCCCCTCCTAAAACTTCACGCACTGCCTCTCCCTCGCCTCCCTCCACCTGCGATTCATCGTCCCCATGTGCTTCCCCACCTGCAGCACCAGCAGTCGCAGCAGCAGAACGATCAGTAGCACCGTCACGACCACCAGCACCAGCACCAGCACCAGCACCAGCACCAGCACCAGCATCAGCACCAGCACCAGCACCAGCACCAGCACCGCCACAGCCATCATCATCACCAGCATCAGCACTAGCATCGACACCATCGCCATCGCCATGGCCATCTAAGCCGGGCAGCAGCGCAGCAGATCCACTGCCACACCCACCCTTTCTCCCACTCTCCCCTTCCCCTTCACTCCTCCTCAGCCGCTCTTTCTCCAGCTCCACCTCTCTCATCAACGTATCCACCCAGGTCACCCGACTAACCTGACCGGGTTGACTGGGTTGACTGGGTTGACCGGGTTGACCGGGTTGACCGGGTTGACTGGGTTGACTGGGTTGACTGGGTTGACCGGGTGGACTGGATTGACCGGGTTGACCGGGCCGGCAGTTGCTGTCACGAAGCACGAGGTGCGAGACGGTGGAGAGGGTGAGCGGGTTCATGCCTCCAAACAGACCTGGAGGGGCGGGCGCAGTTTGGGGAGGAGCGGTGACGAGAGGGGAGGGGGAGGGGAACGGTGAGACGGTGGAGAGGGTGAGCGGGTTCATGCCTCCGAACAGACCTGGAGGGCGGGAAGGAGCGTTTTGGAGGATTTAAAAGGGGGATGTCAGCGAGGGATTGGAGAAGGGAAAGGACGACTTACCTGTGGTGTTGCCGGTATATTTGAGCATGGCTCCGGGGAACACGTTCTTTAAGGAGGAAGAGAGGGGTGGGGAGAGGGGGAGGAGTGAGGTATCCCCCAATAAAGGGAGGGGGGAGAATGACTTACCAGTGGTGTTGGCAATGGATTTGAGCATGGCTCCGGCGAACACGTTCTGCAGCGCCATGGAGAACGCAGTCGAGTTCTGCTCCCCTTGTGCTGACGTGGCATTCTGTGCCTCGGCGGACGTGGCATTTGACGTCTCTGCTGACGTGGCGTCTGGTGTCTCCGCTGGCGTGGGTCTTGCTGCCTCCACGCCCTCACGCCCACACTCTCTGGATTGGCACTCTCGGTGAGCAGCCGTTGAAGCCTCATTTAAAGACTCCTCCACAGCCTCCCCCAAAGGCTCATCCAAGGACTGTCTCAGAGCCTTTACTGATTCCTCTGACACTGTCTCTTGGCCAGGCTTCTTCAGAGAGCCCTCTGCTGGCTGTTTTTGAGTCGACTCAAAAACTTGGCCAGGCTTCTCCAGAGCGCCCTCTGCTGGCGGCGATGAGCCTTCCTCCTCCAAAGCACCCTCTGGTGCTGATAAGGCGCCACCCCCTACAGTGCGATCTGCTGGTGCTGACGTGTCAGCATCCAGAGCGGACTGTAGAGACGCTGACGTGTCGGAATCGGCTTTTAAGTCTGACTGGAGTGTGGCGGGTGTGTGCTGGTCCGTGGGCGGTGCTGGTGGAACGCTCCTGCCTGTGGGGGTGGAGGTGGGGGGTTGAGAGGAGGCTTGTGTGGGAGGAGAGGAGGAGGAAGGAGGTGCGGCATCTGCAGTAGCCGCTAAGGAGGAGGAGGAGGAGGAGGAGGAGGAGGAGGAGGGAGAGGAGGAGGAGGAGGAGGAGGAGGAGGAGGAGGAGGAGGAGGAGGAGGAGGAGGAGGAGGAGGAGGAGGAGGAGGAGGAGGAGGAGAAGGAACCTGATGGCATGAGCATGCTTGCTTTTAGATCTGCTGCTACAGCCTCTGCTGGTGGCCCAGATGCTGCTGGGGCTGCTCCTACTGCTGCTGTCTGTGTGCCCGCTTTCCCATCTCCCCCACCTGTTGCTGCAGCAGCCCCTGCACCACTGTTTCCTGCTGCACCGCCAGCAACAACAGCAGAAGCGCTTCCTGCTGCTCCGCCAGTAGTGGTTGAAGTGTCATCCTTCCCTTGGGCACCATCAGCAGCGCCTTTCCCTGCATCCCCATCAGCCACGCTCCCAGCACCATCAGAATCGCCCTTGCCCGCAGCAGCAGAATCAGCAGCTGCAGCGGCGGCGGCGGCAGCGGCGGCTTCCTGGTGGCGAATGAGCATCTGCTGGAGCACGAAGTGCAGCTGCTCCTGCTGCTGCTGCAGCACCACCATCGCCCGGTCCAGCTGACTCTTCACATGCTGCTGCGTCTCCCTCTCCGCTTGCTCCTTCCCCACCTGCTCCCGCTGCGCCTGCTGCTGCTGCACCAGCTGCTGCCGGCGCCGGCGCCGCCGCGACGACGCGTGCGCGAGGCTCTGCTGCTGCTGCTGGTGCTGCTGGTGCTGGAGCAGCAGCTGCTGCTGCAGCGACTGCTGCTGCTGCATGTGGTACTGCTCGATCCGCTGCTGCAGCTGCTGCGGATGCTGCTCGGGCGTGGTGGAGGTGCGGATTGAGTGGAGGGATTCGAGCAGGTGCAACTGGTGGGGGTTCATGTGCTGCTCCATGGCCCGTTTCTGCTGCACGATTTCTGCTACGTGCTTCTGAAGCTCCTCATCTGAGATGCGCCGGGGGTTCTGGGTGCTCGATTGCTGTCCCTGTGTCTGTGTCTGAGACTGAGACTGTGACTGGGACTGCTGGGGCTGGGACTGTTGTGACAGCGACTGCTGGAGCAGCTGCTGCTGTAGCGGCAGCTGCAACGGCTGCTGCTGCCAAAACGAGCTGCTGCTGCTGCTGCTGCTGCGGCAGCGCCTGCAACGGCTGCTGCTTTTGCCCACCGTCCCTCTGCCCCTGCCCCCCTGCTGCGCCCCCTGCTGCCCCAGCACGTGCCTTGCTTGGCGCTGCAGCAGCTGCTGCGTGTCATGCTGCGACTGCGCGAGCAGACTCGGCAGCATCTTCATCTGCTGCAGCAGCTGCAGGTCCTCGGGGTTGCCCTGCACGTACTGCTGCATCTGCTCCAGCGTCGCCTGGTACTGCTGCTGCTGCTCGTGCAGCCGCCTGAAGGCCTCTGACTGCCGCAGCACCCACTGCTCGTGCTCCTCATCAAACGGTTTCGCACCAGCACCGTTGCTGGTGCAGTTGCTGCTGCTGCCACCTGCATCCCCAACTGCTGCCCCTCCTCCTGCAACTGCTCCCCCTGCTCCTGCTCCGCCTCCAGCTCCTCCTCCTCCTCCCCCTCCTGCTCCTGAGGCTGCTGCACCTGCCCCTCCGCCCTTTCCCCCTTTGCTCTTCTTGGCTCCTTTCCGCTTCCCTCCTCCTTTCCCCACCTCCTTCCCTCCATCTGCGCCTGCACCAGATGAACCTGCGTTAGACGCACCTGCACTAGATGTACCTGCACTGGACGCACCTGCACTGGACGCAGCAACACTGGACGCACTTGCACCAGACGCGCCTGCACTGGACGCGCCTGCACCAGATGCACCTGTCACAGATGCGCCAGTCCCAGCAGAAGCGTTGCTTAAAGCTGGAGCAGACGCATTGGGTGGAGCGGCAGCAGCAGTGCATGCAGACGCAGTGGCAGCGGCAGCGGTAGCGGCACCAGAACTAACAGCAGCGGAAGCACCGGCAGCAGCAGGAACAGCAGCAGGCGCAGCAGCAACAGCAGGAGGAACTGGAGCACCTGGCATTGCTCCACCCGATGGGCCTGCTGCAGAAACAGCAACAGTAGCAGCAGCAGCAGCAGCAGCAGTGTTAGAGGGCGGCGGTTGTGAGTGCAGCGAGGCTCGCAGCAGCTGCTTGCCACGAGATGATGAAGCAGGCTTCGATGGTGCGCCACTCAACGGTGCAAACGGCTTGTGTGCCGCTTCACCCGCTGATGCACCTGCACCTGATGCACCTGCACCTGATGCACCTGCTGCTGTTGCTCCTCCCCCTCCTCCTCCTGTTGCCGCTGCTGCTACTGTTCCACCTCCTACTCCTCCTTCTGCTGCTGTTGCTGTTGCTCCCCCACTCCCTACTCCTGATCCTCCCACTCCCCTGCCCTCCATTTCCTTCCTCCTCTCCCTCCCCCTCCCCCCGTCCCTTCCTTAACTGCCCCTGTGTCATCTACACCAGCTGCACTGTCAGGCGCAACCGCAGCAGAGGAAGCAGTAGCCGCGCAGCAACCGCAGCAGAGGCAGCAGGAGCAGCAGCAACCGCAGCAGAGGCAGCAGGAGCAGCAGCAACCGCAGCAGCAGAAGCAGCAGCAGCAGCAGCAGAAGCGGCAGCAGCAGCAGCAGCAGCAGCAACAGCAGGCGGGGCGGAAGCCATGCGCGGGGGCGGCTGCAAATCTAACTCGCACGCCTTTCTAAGATCTAGATCACTCATAAGCAGGCACCACATGGCATCCCCGCGGCTCATCTGCGGTCCCCACACCGCCTGCAGCGCGCACAACATACGCGACACCCCGTCCTGCTGCAGCTCCCTCCGAGTCGAAAACCCCAGGCTCGGACTCCCCCCCGTGCCCTGCCCCGAGCCTGAACCGGGGCATGGCGCGTTCCGAAGCTGCTGCCAGTGCCGAAGCTGGAGGTGTGGGTTCTGCTCCCCGAGCCTTTCCCGGACCTGCCTGCGGCCATGGCTGCGATTTCCGGGCCTCTGCCGAAGAGGAGAGCATTGGAGACGATGTTGGTCAGGGCGTCCTTCTCGCCGAAGCAGCTGCCGAACCTGTCGACGGCCTGCCGAGCCGCTTCTTCGGTGTAGCCGAAGCTAGCGACCTTGACTACCGCTTCGCTATGGAGCGAATCGAGCTTCTCTAAGAGAAGCTCTTCTAAGCGGAATTCGGTTGCATCATCCCAAATGTAATTTTCAGGAGACTCGAACAGGCAACGTGTGCAGCAGTAGCAGCAGCATCCTGTGCAGCAGCAGAAGCAGTAGCTGCGGTTTGCGGGTCATAATAGCTCTGTTGCTGCGCCCCTTGTTGCTGCTGCTGCTGCTGCTGCTGCTGCTGAAACTGCTGCTGCTGCTGCTGCTGCTGCTGGTACTGCTGCTGCTGCTGCTGCTGCTGCTGTTGCTGCTGCTGCTGCTGATAATGCTGCTGCTGCTGGCGCTCCCGTTGCTGCTGGAGCTGGTGCGACTGGTGATGCTCATAACGCGGATCAACCTGCGACAGATCGGTCTCCTCCCACGTCATCCGCGTCATCAAACTCGCTCTCCATGTCATCATCCGCAATATCCACGTCATCGTCCTCGTCATAATCCTCCTGCGCATCCACAGTGTCCACGTCATCACCGTCATCATAATCCCCGTCCTCGTCATAATACTCATCCTCCACGTGGATAATTCCACCCACGCACGATCCGTCACAAGCATCTTCGGTACAAGACACCAAACCCCCCTCGTCTTCAAATCCGCGCAGACCTTCGCCCTGCGACCCCCAACGCCGAAGACCATCCCCCCGCATGGTAACCCGGTTACCTGCCGCTCCCCCTGCACCGTACGCCCCCGCTTCCGCAGTCTCGCGGAAAGTCATCTGCATCCGCGCCATGCGCGCAGCCGCCGAGCCTTGCGCCTGCGACTGCGACTGCGACTGCGACTGCGACTGCGACTGCGACTGCGACTGCGACTGCGACTGCGACTGCGACTGCGACTGCGACTGCGACTGCTGCTGCGAGCTCGTCGCAAGCCTCAGCTGCTGCTGCTGAAGCTTCCCAAGTCACTCTCACCCGACCCCCCTAACCCCTGACCGCTTCGCGCTCCCACCTGCGATCCCACCTGAGATTTCACCTGCGATCCGACCTGCGTTACATCCTGGCGCGCATGACCGCCGTCCGTCTCCGCCACCGGCGGACACGCTAACGGCGCGGCGGCGGGCGGGCTTCCCTGCGCGGAAGCGGACGGCGCGTCGAGGCGGAACTTGCGCTTGTTGCGGTGACTCGCTCTGTCCGCCGCATCCTCCGCTCTAGCCCTTTCCGCATCCTCCACGGCCGCTGCTACTATCGAAGCTTCATGCGCATGTCCTGTAACGGGGACGCGATCCGCTACTGTTGGTGCTACAACAGGAGCGATGGAATTTTTCCCCGTGCCATGGCTCCCCGACGGACTGGAATAATTGCCTGAAGGGCCCGAAGGCTCTGACTGACTGCCTGATTGGCCTAGCGAGACTGAGTGGCTTGGAAAGCCTGACTGAGCTGAAAGCCCTGACTGCGTTGAAAGCCCTGACTGCGTTGAAATCCCTGGCTGGTTTGAAAGCCCTGACTGGTTCGCATGCCTTAACTGGCCTGCCGATGATCCGTGCGACGAGCAGTCGTCGCTGGATCGCACAGCGTCAACGGCCTTTTGCTTGCAACCTTGGCGAGAGATGGACCATGAGCATACAGCTGCGGGGTTTCTTGCGACTGGTCCACCCCTCCCGCCAAATTTGGCGAGGTTTCCGCGGGTAACTGCGGGTCCGACGTGTTGGACCCGCTTTTTACTTGCTGCTTGCTGCTGTTGGAATTAATGTTGCTAGAGGTGCCGTGGCTGTTGCCGGACTTGCCGGATCGCCCCTTCTTGCCTTTTCGCGGAGCCATTGCAATGTTAGGGCCTGAACAGACAAGGGAAGAAGTTACCACGAATGCATTTCCGTAAAATTTGCTCGCGAGGC